TCGTGTTTCCTGGCTGAGTGTGTAAGAACTTGAAAAATTGATTGAGCGCGTGAATAACAGCCAAGTGAAATGGCTTCAAGGAGCCGTTACAGGATGGCAGGATAACAGGCTGGGTGGGCTGCCGGGCTGCCGGGCTGGCAGGATACATGTTTGCCCTTACAAATGTCTCTGCTCGCGAATCGTTTCGTTTTTTGTTCGTCGAAAGGCAATAAAATGTACAACGTGCAACGTTTTCCACGGTGGAGGAGGGGTAGGAGGAGGTGGCACGATTATGCCACAACCCGAAATTGCAGTTTGCGCATTTGTATGCCACAAAACTACAAGAATTGCAACATTTTCAAAGTCAGTGGCTGAAAAAAATGATACTCTTTTTATTATAGAGAAGAAAATATGAAAAGAACAACAGTGCGTATGAGTAATATTTTGGGTGTTATTTTTATAATTTTTTTTAAAGGATTTATATTTTTGTTTGTGACTATTTAGAGCATTTATTTTTGGCTTTAATATTTTTATTTTTAACGATAATTTTTGTAAAGCAAGACATAAGCTATAAATACTCAATACTCAAGGTTCTCAAGCAAAAAAAGGCCTTGAAAGTAAAAAATTACCTTTTTGTTTACCTTTTTTTATATTTTCTTATAGAAAACTCTTTTAAAAAACAAACCAACTCCAAGGGCAGGGTATAACAAAGCGAAATTGTTGAGTGGCAGTATTCTAGAGTTCTTAGTCCTTGCCGAAAAAGTAACACACCGAGCAAGCCAGAAGCACAAACATTCAGACAGTGGAACAGATATGGCAACAGTATCATTCCAGCAGGATCCTTGCAGCAGGACCTCTCCCAACCCGTCTACACGCCCCATTCCCCCCGAACTCCTTCGGGGTATAAACAGCACGTAGCCGGGAAGCTAAAACACCACGTAGCATTATCGATGTAATCACCGGATAAGCTAACAAGTTGCCAGGATTTTCACGCATACTACGTTGCACTAAGGCAGGACGAGGCAGTATGATAGTGTTAGTGTTGGGGTGTGAGTGTGAATCCCCAAAACAAAAGAAATAGTGCAAACTTTGCCACTCTTTCCACTTTCTCTCCATCTAGTTTGGCCGCAGTTTCCATTCCATTCCATGTCCTTTTTCCTTTGCCTTTTGAGTGGCATTTTATAGTTTTGCAGTCGATGGAGAAGAACGAAACTTATGAGGAAATCGAGCACAGCAGGATATAAAAGGGATATATGGCGGAGGATGCATCTATGTAGACTGTGTATGGGGGCAGACTAAGAAGCCTGTAGAGCATTCTACTTAGTATGGATAAACTGTTTTGATAACTAAAAACGTTCAAGTTATTGATACTGCAAATATTGTGAGGAATTTGTTTTTCTTTTCCTTTGGAATTGACTTGATTTTTTGCCTGGTCAGTGGAGTAGTTTATAAGCTATTATTTGCAGTTGAATGATTTGAAATTAATATGGAAAGTATTGGAAAAATATTGCCAAAAATATTGGTAGCAAAAGGGTTTATAAATCTAAGTGGGAGGGAAAAGGAATAAAAGTCTAGGTGCTCTAGCTTGGTAGTATACTTTAAATTCCTATATTTTCTTTTTCTTTTTTTCTTTCAAAAATTAAACTTATACTTTTAAACTTTTATTAAATTAAAAAAATAAGCGAATATAGTAGAAGATTCTAGAAAATTCAGCCAAACAAGCAAATACCTTTTATGGAAATATATGGAACACTTTTATGTTCTCGATACCTTTAGACTAGGACTCCTTAAACTTGCCGAAAATGAACAATTATTTGGTGTTGCATACATTTGGCTGGAATGTTCGCTTCTCTACGTCTATGACGTGCCGCAAAATATGCGCCAAAAGCATGCAACCTGCAACCTGCAACCTGGAACTTGCGGCAGTCGTAGTGGCACGGGACGAAGGCGTAACCGGATAGAGAATGCCGGCTGGCCGTTGCAACATGTTGCCTCGGCTATATTGTTTCGACGGCGAGCGCATCAATTTCTAGACAAATTTCAAAGGAGGCAACACAAAACAAGAAAAAACCAAGAACCCGCCTCCAAAGGACTACGAAAAAAGAGAATAAAAGGAAGAAAAACAAGGTCCTGGCTGCGCTTCATGTGTGCAATATCAAATTTTGGGTAAAAATGGAGGAAGGTAGAGTCGAAGGCTTCACTCCCACCGGCTCGCTTAAGAAGTTTCAGACATGAAATCAATTTGTCTTCCAAAAAAAAACTTCCACGAAAACGAGTCCAAACCAATGGCAATGGGAATAAGCTTTCTTCAATACTCTATGGCAGCAACTTTAAATAAATAATTAAATTAATTAAATAATTTACAAGTCTGGGGAGTTACTGAGAGCGCCATTATGCCATTTTGCACAATAGCCGGCTTCGGTTTCGGAAAACTACCTGAAGCACTTTACCAATTAGGAGGTCAGACCCCCAGTTAGGGATATCCAAATCCCATTCATAGAGCATCAAATAAGGCAGCCAGGACCAGGGCGGACCTCGTCCTCATCCTCATCCTCATCCTCGACCTCATCTTTATCCTTATCCTTATCCGCAAGTTTCGAGTTTCATTCAAAGACCAAAAAGGCAGTCATGTGGCAAGTTACATACAGCACACATGTATGCTACTCATGTGGCATGATGTCTGGTGGCTGCAATAACTTGTATTTTAAGTTCACTCACTGCTGGGGATTCAAAATTTAATTTCATAGTGCGATGCGTTGTTATTATTTTGCATAATAACATTTCTGGCCTCAGTTCCGCTCACTCAACCAGCTCATGGTCGAGCTCATGGGGGCCCCCTTTGACCCCCATTTCCGTTTTTCGGGTCATGAGAGTGCACTGAGAATTTAATATTATTTTTGAAGTGGAATATGAAGTGGAAACATGGGTTTAACTTTTATGAAAATGCTAAAGAACAGGTGTTAAAGTCTAAAACGGTCTTAGGATATAGCAGGAAGTCTAAAACTTGGAACTTATAGCCTTTTAAAGATACTAAACGGACAAAAGGTCAGGGTTCTATAGCTTTATATTTTTTGAAAAGCATATTATTATTATAATGTCTGAGAAAATTACCGAAAAGATTAGTGGAAAAGCTAAAACATGGAGCTTATGGCCTTTACAAGATATAGACTAACAGACTAAAATATTCTCTATAAAATGGTAAAAAAATTAACTCAAAAGCTATTTTGAATATTCTTCTTTCTTGTACAATACCCTAACATTATTTTTTTTTAAGTGTAACATTTTTGGGTAGCCATCGCTGGGGAAATTCAAAATTTGAGCTCGACCTGCGGACCGGAGGATTGGAGGACTGAGCGATTGTGCAATCGAATCAGGCCTATTAGACTCCGTTCGGCGCATTAGCAGTACGGACTGCCGGGACAGGATGTACCGGATGGACTGGGGGCAGTAGAACAGTACGGAACTGGATCCGGACTAGAACCAGGACCAGAGCGGAGCACCGACACCAGACACTAAATGCCTCATCAGCATTCCGATGTGTGGGGGCGGTCGGTGGCGTGTTTATCTGAGTGTGTGAGTGGATTTGCGTTTTGGTTTTTGGGGTTATGCGGGGTATTGCGGGGGTTATGTGGGCTTTTCTGGATTTTGGGTTAATCAAAATGTGACCGATGGCAGCGACAGCTAAACCGCAAATCACCGCAGCCTCCCGGATGGGCCCATTAACGAAATAAACAAACTTCATTTCGAGGATAATTCCCGACAAAACTAACAAATAGGTACGGCCATTTACCCAGTTACCAGTTAACTGAAACATTGCTATATAAGTGCTATACTTTAAATAAAAAATTGAATTTAAAAAGTTTCTCATCACGACTAGACATTACGGAGAAGCAACGGAAAGTGTCTTCGCGGAATCGAAATAAAAAACAGCCACAAAACACGCAGCATGAGGTCCCCCAGAATGGAAAGAATCGGGGGGTTTTCTTTCGGGAAGTCCCGGAATTGTCTATTTATTGACAATTCACAGCACGCGCCATGCAAACAGATCATCAAAGGTTATTACGACTATAAGAAAGGTCCTTTTTTTCGGTCCGGGCTTGCTCCTGTGAGCTTCCTTGGAAGTGGATTCATAAATAAAACTACAGTCGCTCACACAAGCAGAAAAGAAAAAGTGTAAAAAGAAATTTAAAAAGTGAAAGTGTTACCCAGAAAAAAAAAACAAGCAAGGCAGTGTAAAAAGTCAGCAGGATACAGGATACGAGCACTGGATATATGCATACATCTCCGCAGGATAAAGACAACTTGCAGTTCTGAATGTCAAAGTTTCAAACTGACAACACTTTAAAATATTCATAAGATAATACACTGAAAGGATTTATAAGAGATTCTATTACAAAATTAATATTTAAAACAAAGAAAGTTTTAAGAGAAATGTTTGAGAAAAAATACTACAAGTTTAAAAAGAGTTTTTGAATAATATTCTGTATCTATAAAGTCTCTTTTTAATTTTTTTAAGTGCATAAAAATGCAGCCAGGATTTCTTTTCAAGGCACACCCACACACACACACCGTCATAAAGCAATAAAGCGAAATCATGTGTAGAAATTTTTATAAGTTTCTCTCGGCTGCTCCTCAAGGATCCACTTGGTAGTGGAGGGACTTTTCATTTTGGTTTTTGGCCAAATCCCAGCCAAGAGCTTAAGGTTTTAGCTCAATTGTTTTTGTCCGACTTTATTTTATTGCCAAAAAGTTTCTAGACTTAGAAACCTTAAAGTGTTTATACCCATTTAATAGCTATACTTTATAATATATATATTTATATTCATGTGGAATGCCAGTTCTAGTATAACTGCAAGGTATTTCCGGTTTACACAACTTTCCGTGGATTGTGTTGGGCTTTGTTGATTTTAAGTTATTTGTGCAACAGCACAATATGCGATTCCAAAACACCTGCATTTGACGTATCGATAGAGATCTTCTGGGGGGATATATAAGGCGGTCCCATTTCCAGGTAAAGTCAGTTCAATTTGTTCCAGCAAACTTCTTGAAAGAAATCATAAAAATGCGCGTTCTATTCCTCGTTGCTCTTATCGCCGTGGTGGCCGTGGCTTCTGCCCATAGAGGCGGACAAGGAGGACAGGGCGGCCAGCAAGGTGGCTCCCAGCAAGGAGGACCTCAGGGTGGCTCCCAGCAAGGAGGACCCCAGGGTGGCCAGCAGGGTGGACAGCAAGGAGGTCAGCAGGGTGGCCAGCAGGGAGGACAGCAGGGAGGACAGCAAGGAGGCCAGCAGGGCGGTCAGGGAGGACCTCCACAAGGCGGCAACAGCTCCGACTCTAGCTCCAGCTCCGAGGAGGATTCCAGCTCGGCCTCTGCCTAATTTCCAAAAGGATAACTGATCCTTAACTAAAGTCAATTAGACAAACAGAAATGTATATTTTTGTGTAAAGCTGTTTAAAAAATAAAAAACCGTTCATTGCAGTTTTAATTGTTATTTATTTTAAAGGGTTTTAAAGAAAAAATACTAGAAAATACTAAAAACATTTAAGAAAAGTTCTAACATGAATAGTTTTCCACCATCTGGAAAATATCTATTTAAAAACCTTTATTTTGAAGCTGCCCCATAATTCGTATGCCATTTAGGATCCTTTAACTTCAAATAGGGCAACATCAAGTGCCATATCCTGTTAGGAAAAGGTATTCCAAAGAACAAAAAACAAAAAAAAACCAAAATAAATATAAATAAAATAAAATAAGAAGAAAAAAAGTAGAAAGGAGAGCAGTGGCAAAGGCAACAAAGTTAAACTGTAACAATAACCAAAGTCAAAGTTTGTCGGCAAAGTTTTAGCCTTTTTCGTAGCTCCTCTGGTATGGTTGTTGTTGTAGTGTTGGGTGTAACTGCCTATATATGTATGTATATGTATTGGTGTATCTATGCCGATGTGTTGGTGTGTCTGCAGGATACAAATTCATTTCAATTGTGTGGCAACTCGGAAGAATCTGTGTAAAATGAGTTTGGTTTTTTGTTTAATTTTTTTTTTTTACGCCGTTGTATGTACTTTTGAAGATGAAACAAGTTTTTTTCCCTTTCCCAACTCCCATGGGTTAAAGGGAATCCTGCCGAGTCCTTGTAAAGGATTCTGGGGCAGGACATGCCGCATCGCATACCTGCAGACTTCACTTTCTTTTCGGCAGCGAAATGCCAAAGAAATGCAAATAAAACTTTTCATTGTTGGTCTTTTTGTTTTGCTTTTGGCTTTTGGCTTGACGTTGTGGCTTTAACCCTTATATGGGTGCCTAGACGTAAACACAACAACAACAAAAACAACAAAAACAACAACAGCAGCAACAAAAACATGAAGGAAAGACAAACAACACAAGAAAACAAATAAATACATGAACAAAGGTGGTCCTTTAAAAATAGAGTCCTTTTAAATAATTGATAAGATTTTCTAATAAACTACTTAAAATATTATAATTTAATTGAATTTATTTGATTATTTATTTTCATTGAAATATTTAATTAATAAAATATTAAATTCGAACCATTTTTTCTTTCTGTAAAACTATCTTTTCAAACTTTTCATTATCAACTTTGAACTTTTGCCCTTCCACACCCACCCACACACACACATCTACACCTTGCGAAAAAGTGTAGACAAACAATAATAGAAACAACATGAAGAAAAACTTAATTAAGCATTTTGTTGCAACACGATGTTGCAACAAAACACATTCCTCTTTAAATAAAGCACCAACGCAATTTATTCCAATTAGCAACAACAACATCATTGAATATTTAAGCCCAAATGTGCGTATGAGATAGCTATAGATCCAGGTGAAAGAGAAAGCATTGCTTTGACTGGATATTGGTGAAAGAGATAGCATAACTTTAAGACAAACACATGGATGGAAATAATTGAACAAAATCAACATTTACCAAAGTTCTGGCAATGACAGGCGTTTACTAAAGGTATTGACTTTTTACTTAAATTTTTAGTTTAAATTAAATGATTAGTTTCTAATTTTAGACAGTGGTTTCAGGGGGTTTTTAGTTAAATATTTTAATAGTTATAGGTATTTTTCTTAATGAATATAAATATAAAATAAAATCTAATGAAAATGGGGGCTTTATATCTTGAGAGTTTCTTTGTTGAGTTAAAGTTTAAGGTTTGAAAGACCTTTTATGTTTATATTTTAAGCTTTTTTGAAAATGATTTTAGTATGATTAAAAGCTTTATCAGTGTATTTAAAAGTCTGTATTTATTATAAGATTTTATTGCATAAAATATACCATTCTTTTACTTTGTTTACCATAACCAAGATTTTGAGACAGCTGGGCCAATTAAGGTTTAAGGTAAATATTTTTAAGGTATGATTGTTTATATTTATACATACTACTAATGCCTAAATTGTCTTTATATAATATATGAAATTCTAGGAAAACTGGGCTTGGTAAGTTTCTAAAAATATATATTTTAATATTATATTTTAATAAGTATGAATACCAGTATTTATTTTCAAGATTCAAGATTTTTTGTAGAGGCCTGAGGGGCTAGGGCTATAATCCACATAGGTTTCTGGTATAATCCACATAGGTTTCTGCTCTTCGAAAACCTTATAAACCTCTATATAAAGCTTCAATTCCAAGCCCCCTTTAATAACCCCCATATCCACTTGTTCAAACCCTCTCGTCATCAAATACCTCTTCAGTCTCTATTTTTTTCTGGGCATCTGTTTACTTTGGCGTTTAAATATTTTGAAAGCTTGTCGCTCTAGCTTATGTAAAAAATTATATATAAGTGGAATTATCTTAGCAGACATGCAAAAACCTAATCCAAGGCCAATGCCAACGGAAAATACCGGATCCCCTGACTAACTGACGTTAGTTTACCCAACAGCCGCCGGATACGTCATGGATTTGGAACACTTGTGCCGGCGAAGTCAACTTTCTCCAGAATCCGATCTATAAATATGGTAGGCGCGGAGTTCAGAGATCAGTTGGAGATCGAGTTCATTCACTATCCGATATGCGCACCCTTATCCTAGTTGCTCTTGTTGCCATCGTTGCTGTGGCCTCTGCCCAGGGACCGGGAGGTCCTGGCGGTTGGGGCGGCGGCTGGGGTGGTCCCCGTGGCGGTCGCGGTGGCCGCGGCGGTTTCGGTGGTCCTGGACAAGGTGGCCCCGGCGGTTTCGGTGGTCCGGGTCAAGGTGGCCCTGGCGGTTTCGGTGGCCCCGGCGGTTTCGGTGGTCCAGGCGGTTTCGGTGGTCCAGGCGGTCCTCCTCGTGGTCCTGGTGGTCCTGGAGGCTTTGGCGGACCAGGCGGTGGTCCAGGAGGTCCAGGAGGCCCTGGGGGTCCAGGCGGTCCAGGAGGTCCGGGCGGTCCAGGAGGTCCAGGCGGTCCAGGTGGCCCAGGACCATGGGGACCACCAGGCAACAGCACTACCAGCACCACCACCGAGGCATCCACTTCCTCCTCATCCAGCTCCAGCTCCAGCTCCAGCTCAAGCTCCACTTCCACAACTACAACCGAAGCCTCCACTTCCAGCTCCACAGAGTCTGGTGCTTAGTTGTCTCGATCCTCTCAAGATCCAGATGTCGCAGCTCTTGCTTCTGAAACTCGGAAAAAATGTGTTGAATAAAAAAAAGCGTCTTTGTGCATATTGAAAATAATGGTGTTCTATTTTTTTAATAATTTTTTAAAAGTGATAAGGATAATGAGAAGGATTTTCAATACTATTCTCTCTTAATAACTTACTAAAAACAAGAAATGAAAGCTAACTTCGGGCGGAGCCGAAGTTTATATACCCTTGCAGTTAAAACCGGATATATATCGCAAACATCGGATATAGTTGGCCGATCCTTATGAGAATATGATTATATAACCCAATTTATTATAATACAAAAACCAAACCTAAAAATGTCCCAAACTTCTATCATCAAAAACACAAAAGTTGGGTCATTTCCGATCGTTCAGTTATATGGCAGCTATAGGATATAGTCGGCCGATCCTAATGAAATTTGGTAGGTTGGATCAACTGACCAAAAATAGAATCTGTACTAAATTCCACCTTTCTATCTTCAAAAACACGAAAGTTGGGTCATTTCCGATCGTTCAGTTATATAGCAGCTATAGGATATAGTCGGCCGATCCTTATGAAATTTGGCATGTCATAATGTTTTGCCAAAAAATGCTCTCATGTCAAATTTGAACTCTGTAACTTTAAAAACGTCAAAGTTATACCATTTCCGATCAATCAGTTATATGGCAGCTATAGGATATAGTCGGCCGATCCGGGCCGTTCCGACTTATATACTGCGTGCAAAGGAAAGAAGGGTGTGTGCAAAGTTTCAAGACGATAGCTTTAAAACTGAGAGACTAGTTCGCGTAGAAACAGACAGACGGACAGACAGACGGACAGACAGACGGACAGACAGACGGACAGACGGACAGACGGACAGACGGACAGACGGACATGCTCATATCAACTCAGGAGGTGATCCTGATCAAGAATATATATACTTTATAGGGTCGGAGATGTCTCCTTCACTGCGTTGCACACTTTTGGACAAAATTATAATACCCTCTGCAAGGGTATAAAAAGTACAAAAATACTTAAAGACCAACAGACAATAGGACTAACAGGCACAAGATACTTGAAAATGCAGTATAATTTTCACCCAGCAGATATCATGAAACTATAAATTATGACCAAATGACTTAGTCAGTTAATTGGCCAAAAAACAATAGAACCGGACAACAATGAACTAAGCCACCTTAAATGAAGGGCTCTAATTGGAAATTAATATCCAGTATTCGCGCCTTCCAACAAGCCCAATTTATTTGCCATTCAATTGTTTTTCGGTCGATTCTGTGTGGAGTGGAAACCAACAACAAGTTGAATGCCACCCACACACACACACACACACAAATACACACATTTATGCAGTACTTTAAGGATAACAAAATAAGGAGCCATGTCCTGGGAGAGAGCTTATTCGGCTTAACAGGAGCATAAGGAGCAGCAACAGGATTAGGTGGCATTAAAAGTTATAAAACGACAGGATTATGGGTGTTTCTGCCAAAGCAAACCCCTCCTATGTGGGTTCCAGTTCTATTTCTGCTTCTATTTCTGTTTGTTTTTGTTTTTTTTATTTTTAGTAGTTGTTTATTTGTTTATTTATGGTTTTAATTGGTTAATAGTTGTTTTGTTTTGTTTATTGGGATTTAAGTTTAGTTTTCCAAGCAAGCCTTGAAATATTATTCTCCAGAGATTCTGTAGAATCACAATACTAGATAGCCTCTTAAATAAAAGCCTCTTTAAGGAAGAAACCTACGATTTAAACTTCAAACTCTTAAAAAAAATTAAACTAACAAACCCCACTATGTAGACTTCTTATCTTAAGAACCAAAAACATTTTCCTTAAAAATACTATTATTTTTTTTTTGGATTTTTTATTTATTTTGTTAATCCCGATGATGGGCTGGCGCGGATTTACAGAGATCGGTGGGTCATTAATATCTTCCCGTGCACAGTCATCGGATGAAGTGGTCCGAAATTCTTATGGTTCATCGTATAATCTGGGTCGTCTGGTTGGGTGTCCTGGCTGGGTCGAAGTGGCTGCGAGAGTGAGGCCTAGTTGGTGGCATCAACTTAGGTCCTCAATGGAATGGTAATGGACGTCGAGGAGCTCGGTGGTGGTGGTGGTGGTGGGGAAGTTGGCGGATGCCACGGTCCTCGATCTCCCACCATTTGATACTTGGTCATTTGATACAGCTCCTCCTCCTCCTCCTCGTTGTCATCACTTCCCGGGATGGGAAATTTTGGATTGGTGAGCAAACTATACTCGATGTAGTACCTCTGTTGGAACCATCTCCTAAAGGCGACGAGGTAGGTTTCCAGCCGAAAGATGGTCCTCATCGGAAAGTAAACGAGGAGGCGCTTGGGGAAGACCACTGTCTTGGGCCGACGAGTTTTCATTGTGCCAAACAGATTCAATCGTGGGTAGAAAAATGCGAAAGAATTGTTTGTATAATTCTGAGAAATAAAAATATTCTGGAAATTTTGATTTTATTTTGTGTGTGTTTGTGGATGTGTTTTCGACCAGTATTTGTTAAGCAATGACCGAGTATGGGGCTAGCCCTAGGGGATAAACTTTTCCAGTCAACGAATTTCAAATCAAGGCCTACTATTTTTTTTTGGAGAAAAAAATTCTCTGAAAGTCAAGGTCTAAGCACTATCTAAGCACTTAATCAAATCACGCTTCACCCGTTTAACAATTAGCACCGATAACTAATTTATGGCTTTTTACGCTGCTACTGGCCAAGTTCTCTTTATTTTTGGGGCCAAGTTGTTAGGGAGGGAGTAGGCAAGGGATTGTTTTCGAGTGCGAAGCACTTACACGTAATAACAATTACCAATGCGCGGGGTCCATAAATCAAGGGAAGCCATCACTAGCACCCATTCCTTCATCAGCTTGGGAGCCTGGCCCTCTCCCCCTTGAAAATAAACTGTCCAGAGGATACGGCCGCCTTCAGGCAGACTCCTGGCAGATCCTGCTCCTGCTCCTGCTGCCAGCTCCTGGGCAGCACTAATTACAATTCAGGACGCGTTGCACTCGAAAGTTGTTGCTCATTCAACACTCGAAACGATGGAGAGGGTGGATGGGTCCAATGGGTGGTTAACTTCAAAGCCACCACCCATTTGGGTGTGCGGGTGTCCTGGTGTCCTGGTGAGACACCCGAAAGTATTGTTGTAATTAAATTATGTGCCAAATGACGTTCTCGGAGCTGTCTCCCGTTTAGTCTCCCTAAGCACTTTAACTAAATTTGGGGACTTTACAGGAATCTTGGACTTTGTTTTGAGGGTTTTTTTTAAGAGCTTTGAATAGAAGTACAATAGAATACAGGGTTGTGGGTACGAAAGCTAAAGAAATTCGATTCTTTTATAGATTTAGATACATTCTTTATAAAGTAAGTTCATTTAATTTATTATCTTATGAGAGATATAAGGAAAAATAATCCAAAGACAAGGAGAGGGTCTTACGGACAAGCGGGCATGGGGTTTCTAAGACTATTTTGATCAGGAACTGATGTATGGCCTTTACTGGAATATTAAAGTCCCTTATAAGGATATGAATAAAAATACTAACCTTTATAAAAAGACAGAAGCATAAGTCCCGTTCCAATAATAACACAGTGCGACAGTGATTTGGAACTTTTGAAGAGACCTAGTAGGAATTGTTCATTAGGTCGAGTATAGTATAAAACCATGTTTAAAATTTTTCAAACACCCTCAAAATCTTGATTTATTTGGAAAAAACGTTTTTTCGGGACTTTTTTGCTCTTAAAAATTCCTGAACGCGTAATTTTAAACCGATTTTAAAATTTTTTTCGTTTTTCAATAGTTAAATGATGGAGCTTTGGAAAAATAGATCTTTAATTTATTTCAACAAAAAAGATCCAATTTTTACGCAGGAAACTGACATTTTTGAATTTTTGTCGTGTTTTTCGGACTTTGACGCCATTTTTTCGGTACAACTTCCAAGAAATGGTATCATTTTCGACACATATCAATATTGTCTTGTTAAATCTGAATAAAACGAGACCAACTTCATAAGGAAATTATGAAAATTGTTGAAGTTATAACGCTTTTCCCAAAACAAGTCAATGCAATTTTAAAATTATAATTTTAAGCTAGAACTTATAAGTATAACTGATCTCTCCCTTACATAAAAATAGAAATTTTCTTTTACTCTCTAGTTGAATGTTTTTTTAAACTAACCTAACAAATACCACAACCTTTAAAGCCCTCTGAGAACTGATAACCTATTTTTCTTTCAGTGTGTCTATCTGTCTGTTGCCTTTTTTGTCCTGTGCCATCTCAGATGTTGTGGCAAATTAAGTTTGCTTTTGTTCTAGATTAAAAAGGCATTGAAATGTCGACAGAGTGTGGGGGAAATAAGGACCTAAAGACTACTAGAAGAAACAAGACCAGGACGAGCACAAGAGGAGCAGAAGGACTAGGACGAGATGGTGGTGGTAGTAAGCGGCAGTTAAAATGACGCCTTCGGTCGAATTTAGCTAACTTTGTTAAGTTTGTTTTGGCCGTGGGTGATGAATGGCGGCCGCATCCAAGGGGTTCCGCCGGATGATGATGAAGTGCCCGGCCCAGACGACAGATACAACCGCAAAAGACGGAAGGAGATGAGTGCCCAATGGATGGAATGGTTAGGAGGACTTGTGGGCAGAAATTAAAAATCAACTGCCGCGTAGGGAGAACAAGACGGGCACTCAAGTAGCTGACCGACTGGATAATTGAAGGGACTAATTGAAAATTAAGGGCCGGACAGTGTGGAAGCTTAGGAGTGCTCTCCCTTTCCCATTCGGACATAAAGGATTTAACACTATACAGTATAATGTATAATGTATAATGACTTGAATTACTTAAGGGGTTATATACCTTCTTTGTCGAAGAAAATGAGCAAAGTTCGGATTTTTTTTTAGGTATGTAGCAATTATTTAATTACACGGATGTTTTAATTTTTTGATAGTACACTTTATTAACAATGTTTGTGCAAAATTTGGTGGAAAAATATTAAATAGTTTTTAAGGGGTGGCTGTTTCCCTTAGAGGCCTTTTTTTTTTAGAGCCTTGCGGTGACAGTTCCCCAGGTCAAACAGGTCAACTTAAACCATAAAAGTAAAAATATTTCATTAGTTTAGAGTAACCTCTTGTGCTTGAACGATCGATTTTAAAATTTTTGTTTTTGTTTGGATATGGCAGCGTTTTATGCTAAAAATGAACGTTTTGGTCTCTAGAAATTTCACTAAAAATTTATTTCGCCGAAAAAAAGTTTGCGCGTGAAAAGTCGATCGTTCAAGCACAAGAGAATTTCATTACGAACATTTTAAAAAAATTTGAAGTAAATCGGTTCAGTAGTTTTCCGCCAATCCATGTCACCGCAAAGTCATTTTTCAAGAAACACCATTTCGAGATATTCGCGTTTAAAGTTTCAAGTTCAGTTCAAGGCCGCAACGAGGCGTGCGATTAGGAGCGCTGTAACTTTTTTTCTACTGCTCCAATCTCTATGAAAATATGGGAGAATGTTCTCAAGGAGTTGTTCTTCAAGATAAACCACTAAAAAAATTTTCGTTTTTTTGAAAATAAAAAAGGTATATAACCCCTTAAAGGGAGATATGGGGGAGAATCATACCATTTTTGATAGAAAAACCCGGCATAGGGACTTGCATGCTAATGTCCTGGATGTCCTAGATGTCCTAGTTCAAATGCAGCCTCCAAATCGGAGAAAGGAAAATGAAATTAAGAGCAGGATACAAAAAAAAAAGGATATTTGGAATCTAGATTCTAGAAGAAGTTTAAATACCCTTTTGGATAAGAATTTTTATTCTTTTAAGAGAAGTAAGTTGATAAAGATAAATGATATAGTCTACTGATCCTTATAATTTTAATCTATATACATACATATATTATATAAAGATAGTAAAAAATAGGTCCCAAATCTGAAGTTAAAAACTGACAGAATAGTTCGGAAAGAAGTCCTCAAAAGGACAAAATACCTGGCTATAACGTATCTGGATAGCTCCTTCAACATATTAGAGGTGCCCTCCTTCTAGAGTATCAAAAACAAAAATATATACTACACTATACATACTAGCTAGTCGCTATACAAGGCGATTCAATTTTGGATTCCAAATTCCACGCACATATTCCATTAAAGTCGTTGGCGTAATTTTAATTTCGGATTTTCGGTCCTATTCCTGTCCCATCCAAGTAGCTAGCAGTGGAGCAGTAGCAGCAGCTGCTTTAAGGACCTTCAAGGATGCGAAAAGGGAACAGCTTAAAGGCCAAGGCGGCAGGCCTTCCAATCAAATTGAAATTTAATTTGCACAACAATGTTATGGTGAGGGGGTGAGGGATTAACTTGACCGAAGGACAACCGAAAAAAGAAAAATACACCCCCCCGCCCCCTGTTGTGAGTCCTTGAGTGGCCAACGATTATTAACCCCATCCTCCATGCTCCATGCTCCATGGTACAGCTTCCACCCGACCGTTAGCAGTCCATAAAATTGTGATTTACTCCCATTGAGATTTCAATTACTGCCGCTTTATTGGCAATAAATTTCCGTATAAATTAGGCCTGGCCCGCAACTTTGGACCCGCAAGGGTTAAGGTTAAACAAAGCGAGAAGCAGCCGCACGTCCAAAGGTGAAGCCGGTCAGAAAAGGTTCATGGGGTTAAGCAGCCCAAGATGCGGAAACACGCCCCCCAAATAAAGAGACTTCTTGCAACTTATAGATACCCTAAAAATTCGATTTTATTTCATTACAAATTTTATAAAAAATATAGTTTTATAACTTATACACTAAGCATTTTAATCTTTTAGTTTATATTTAAAAAATAAATTAGTTTTATTATCTCACAGCTCTTTATTCTTCGAATCAATATATACCTGAGAGTGAGGATACTCCCAGGATAACACGAATAAAAATTGATTGCCATGCAAATAAAAAAATATACAACGATATCTTTTGGGCACGTTCATGTCGTTGTCGTCATCATCGTCCTTTGGAAATCCATTGACGACTCTTTAAATCTCTGCTGGCAGCCGCCACGCCTCCACATCCGCATCCCCCTGCCCATTTCCAAAACCCAAAGAAAACCCTCGAGAAAATTGTTTTTGTTTTCGTGTTCTCTAGCCAGTTCCTTGGCATTTTCCGTCTAAAGTCGCGGGAAATATCAAAGCCGCTTCCGAGCCTGCCAATCACGAATTTGCCGCAGGTGGGGCAAACAACTTCCGCTCCGGGCTAACTTCCACGGGGCGCATATAAAAAAAGGTGACAGGTCGTGAACTGTAAGGCGTGAAAATCAGAACAGTAAGTGCTATATTTTCTATCCATAAAAATACATTTTTAAATGCAAAAAAAAACACACAGTTTTAAATGAAATTGTTTCCTCAATAAATATAAAATATTTTACAGAGGATAGCTCCCCCTTCTTCCTTACCCTACAGATACTGCGAGTCCGCATAGAGATCACGGAACTCTAGAAGCTGATCCAGCGCTGTTTCATACTCATCCCGCTCCAGGCTGGAATTGTTGTAAGCCAGCAGCTTGGCCAGCTGGATGCGATGTGTCTGGGAGTGCAGATTATCAAAGTGCTCGCCCAGCTGGGTGGAGTTCTGCACAGCAGCCATCGCCGGGGCAGAGTCCACTCGCAGGCCAGGCTCTCGTTCCGCCTCGCCGGGCAGCCGGAAGCCACTGGAGTTCATGCTAGCTCCAAATATTTCGTACGGGAAGGGCAGTTGCGACTTCAAGGGCAAGGGTGTGGAAGCTGCATTGGTCACGCTGCCGTGGTAGCAGCACTGGTAGTAGAGCTGCAGCATTTGGGAGACGCTGTCGCATCCGTAGGCGGCCATGCGCATTTGGTCGCCGGCCTTCTCCCTGGGCCGCTTGAGACGCTCCAGGGGAATGCCACGAGCTGTCACAGACTGCACCACATACGAGGTGCCTGGCTCACAGCCTGGGCTTAGTTGGGTGAGCAGGGCATGGTCGCCGCTTTGATCCAGGAACTCGATTAGGTCTTGACCCTCGCCCACTCCCAGTGGCAGGGCCAATCCGGCGGCTGTCATCTTCCTGCCGGAGGGTGTGACCCCTTCGCAGAAGCGCATTAGAGATTCGGGGGTATTTCGCAGCCTGTAGCCCAAAGTGGCAGTGTCCAGGAAGGCAGCCAGCACGCCCGATGTCTGGTACAGATTATCCGCCTGCCATTGCAGGCCAGAGAGACTCCTAGACTTGAGGTCTGTGTTCCGCCAGATTGTTTCCAGCGTGGAAAGTGGTGTGAACATGGTGGCCTGCTCGCTGAGATTGTGGTAGCTCATGATGGTGTTCGCCACGCGGATGCAGTGCGACAGACGGGAATCTAAGTGAGGAAAACCATTGCTACTCAAAGATCTAACAGGTCAACTTGTCAACTCACCTGCTTGTGGATAGGAGGTGGTTCTGGGATAGTGCAGAGGCACTACAAAGCTCGCCCTACCGTATTCATCGTTCAGGTGCTCCAGACACTTGCCCGCCAATCCTCCAAAGCCATCGTCAATGTCGAACAGCATATGGAATCCCTGCAAGCCGTCACATTCCTCGATATACAGGCGTATGCGGTCTGTTAGCTCCTCATTGAAGGTGGCTTCCTCCCACAAGGCCGCTCCAGCGGAATATGTGCTTATGGTCTGGTGAACCGTGCTTCTGACCAGTCCCGGCAAAACATTCAGGCTGCGCGGATGGTATCTGGCATACAGGAAATCCGGCCAACTAGCTACAGTCTCCGCCAGCTGGTAATCCTTATCGGGCGCCACTGAGTTCTTCATGAGATCCCGCTGATACTCAGATAGTTGCGTAGCCGGCTCCTCCTGCAGCTCCAGCTGGTTCGTAGAGGACACCCCGCTCTCCTCTGCCCGCTGCAGGGTCTTTTTCAAGTCCTCGCCCGTTCCAAACGGCAGCAAATCCTCATCCCGCTGCACAAAGTTGCCGTAAAGCTCGCCGCCCAGCGGCAGATGGGCCAGAGTGCCGGCTAAATCCACAGACACCAAACGCGGAGTGTAGGTGGTGCGATTGTGGCTGTTCAAGCCCTCTCGGTAGAGGATGTCATTGTGTAGCAGATGCTCCTCGGCCACCTGGTCGTCTCCGTCGCCGGCGCCGTAGCAAAAGTTTGCCTCCTGGAAGCGAAAGTTTCGTATAAACTCCAGCAGAATGAAAGGTACTAGCTTACCTGCTGGTTCCAAAAGTGGGCGCCCACATAGTTGGCATAGGTGCCGAACTGGAGGGACAGAATCTCGCGTGTGTGGGCCATAATATTATTTTAAAAATGACTAATTTGGAAGCAACCTCCAGTGGCCGCGCTGCTCTATCGATAGCACTCGATAGCAAGTCGATAGATATCGATTGTTCTAGCATATGTTTGGGGGAACATTTGAAAAATCCCCTTTTGCGGTTAATTTACTGCATTTTTGAAAATTAAATAAAAGTAGTCTATGAGACCAAGAGCGGCCGAAAATGACAGAAAATAATGAACTTTATATGTTGTTACTGAACTAGCACACCCCTTGCATACCCTCCACGAATACAGCGATCAAAACAAAAAACAATAGCACGTGTTTGTCCAAGCCTATGTACATTTAACATTTTTATTCGTTAGATTGTCATGGATAATGTAACAGAGATTCGGACCCTACTTCTTGTTGAGCATCATTGAGAGGTAGCTGTTCCAGATCAGGGCTACGCACTGGACATACATCACTTGGTATTGGAGAGGCACAAACGAAAAATTGATGAACTGTGCCATGGGCCAGAGCATGTAGTTTCTGCTGAGTATTGTGAAGTAGGTTTCACGGATCCGGTTCCGTATCTGTTGCTCCTCTTCGCCGTTTATCTTCGGCACCATATAGGACATGGCCAATGTAAAGGGTGGCGCAAACAAACACTGATCGACGAGCATTTTGGTAATCCCACGACGCATCGGCGAATGCTTCTTTGAGATTCTTGACTCCATGAACATGAACCACGTTTTCAACACCGGCCCAACAACCACAAAGCCCAGGGCACTGAATCTCACCGTCCGTCCCATATCCCACTCGCTCAGGGGCTTCTTCTCGACCAGCAGCTGGGCGATACCGTCGCCGATTCCCATTATGGCTGCCACATTGATGCTTTCCGTGACGTACGCCCGTAGAGCCATTTCGAATCCCTCTCCTCGTCTGTGCTGTGCTGGTTTACCGTCTGTGCTAGTGATTATGCATCTGCTCTGTCGATGCTTCGGATATTTTTTGCGGGCCGGGGAAAAAGGGTTGTCAGGTCAACCCAAAGGCTCACATATGTAAACAGAAGCGGGCTGCAACAACACTGTGACATTTAAAGACAGGACATCTTTTGTATTTTTTTATGAAAAACACTTGTTCTTAAACTTTAACATCCTTTATTCAAGGCCCACCCCTTAAAAATGTAGCATCTTCACAAATAATTTACAATTTTTGGAAACCAAGAAGGTTGTAACCATTTCATAATTATTTACTTTATTTTATATTTAAAAAAAAACTATAGAACTACATCGTGTCAGTTAGCTTCCTGTTCCTTTCGTTTCTTTTTCTTTTTGGGTGGCGATGGCGAGTCCTCGGGTTCTTCCTTGATGGAAATCTCTTCCGGAATTGTACCATTGATCACAACATCTCCATTGGCTTTCCGCTTTTGCTTCTTTTTGGGGGATGTGGGTTCTTCCTTGATTTGAATCTCCTCCACATGGCCGTTGGTTTTCGGCTTCTTTCGCTTCTTGGCCGGCGCCGTTCCATTTTCCACTGGCTCCACCTTGATCTCCACCTCGTCCACAGCGTCCATGTAGCTGGCTGGGTTAGCCGGCGACATCATGAACGAAGGCGTGAGACCCGTCAGCACTGACTGGCGAACATCGAGCTCCTTCTCCTGCAACGTCTGGGTGTTGGTCAGCATTTTTCTCCGAATAGTGTAGAAATTGGCTGTGCGGCGCAAGCGGGAAGAAATCTCCAAGCTCTTTTCGTCCGCTTTGTTGAGGTTCTCGGTAATCACCTCCGGCACCTCGATCCGCTTCTTGTAGTCCGTTCCAAAGAAGGGATGTCGCACGGGCAGCTTGTACTTGAGCGGTGGCAAAGGCAGAGGGAAGGCGACGCTGCTGTCATCCTCGGAAGGCTCCTGGGCGTTGAGCCGCTTGCTGACCACAACGTACCCGGACAAAGGTAAGCTGCGAAGTGCGTACTTTCCTTTAGAGTTGACATAGCCCACGGCCTCGTTGAGAGGGTCGGAATAGTTGCTAGCCCTAACTTGCAGATCACCAACATAACGACGGCCGGGCAGCTTTATTTTCTTTCCGACCAACTCGTGGGGATCCAGTCCTTTGGGACACTGGAGCAGCCAGGCGTCGTGGGTTTGAGCATCGAATTCCTGGATGGTGGTGCCGCAACAACTCCTTCCAGAGTCCGATTCCAGTTCTACGCATTCATTTTCCTCGAGGAACTCCCGGCGCAGCTCCTTGGCCAGGCGTCGGGCATTCTTTTTGTCAATCTTTTCCATAAAACTTTATATAAATATTAAGAGTACTAAGAAATAGACGAAATTAAACGAAAAATAAAATCCACACGTGCTGTGCGGTCCAGTGCTGGTAAGCGACACAGCTGGCGCAACAGCTGAGCATTGCAACTATCGATAAGTGATTTTATTTATTTAAAAACTAAATTGAAAAATTAAACCTTTAAAAAGATTTAAATCATTTAGAGAAAAGTAAATAAGGTAAATAAAATAAAGCGCTCGTACATCTAATTAAGTGTAAAGTGCTTTGGTTAATGATTTAACTATCGATCTATCGATACTCCCACAACTCGCGCATTACCCAACACTGAACACGGTGTTGTTGCTGCCCTTAAGAAAACGTGCGTTTGATCCTCTAGCTGCGCATTTTCTTGAGTTTCCATTCGCCATGAGCCAAAAAGCACAAACAGCGGTGCAGTTCCACGAACTGGAGCTGGACCAGCGGATACTCAAGGTGAGTTGTCATAGCCAGTCTCTGGGATTCCAAAACCTCTGGAATAAGCCACCCCACATCCCGGTTTTCTAAAAAACAATCCTGAATGATCACATTTCTCATATTTTAGGCAGTAGCGCAGCTCGGATGGCAACAACCAACTTTGATCCAGTCCACGGCGATACCCCTCCTGCTGGAAGGCAAGGATGTGGTTGTGCGAGCCCGTACCGGCTCCGGCAAGACAGCCACCTACGCTCTTCCATTAATCCAGAAAATCTTGAACTCCAAGCTCAATGCCAGTGAACAGTGCGTGAGCGCCGTGGTTCTGGCCCCCACCAAGGAGCTCTGTCGGCAGTCCCGTGCGGTGATTGAACAGTTGGCCGAGTCCTGCGGAAAAGTGATACGCGTAGCAGACATTGCTGGGAGCTCCAGTGATGCCGCCACTCAGAGGCACGCCCTCGCCGAAAGGCCCGACATTGTGGTGTCTACGCCCTCCAAACTGCTGAACCACGCCGAGGCCGGTGGAGTCGTGGATCTGAAGAACGTCGAGACGCTGGTGGTGGACGAGGCGGACCTGGTGTTTGCCTTCGGTTATGAGAAGGATTTCAAGAAGTTGATCAAGCACTTTCCACCCATTTACCAGGCCGTGTTGGTATCCGCCACCCTCAGCGACGACGTGGTGCGAATGAAGGGCCTGTGCCTGAACAATCCTGTAACCCTGAAGCTCGAGGAACCGGAACTGGTGCCGCAGGACCAGCTGACTCACCAGCGCATCCTGGCCGAGGAGAACGACAAGCCAGCCATTCTCTACGCGCTGCTTAAACTGCGCCTGGTTCGGGGCAAGACCATCATCTTTGTTAACAACATAGATCGGTGTTACAAGTAAGTAATATACAAAGCAACTTGTCCTCTTAAGGATCATATGATGTAACCATACTTCAGAGAGTGGGCAGCTGGCAACAGTTGGCTCACGCATGACCAGATTCTAATCTTCTCGCTGATTCCATAAACCACTGACTACTTGGTATCTTCTCATAAAAGAACCAAAGCTTAATCACCTTTTTTGCTTTAAAATTCCAGGGTTCGCTTATTCCTGGAACAGTTTGGCATCCGTGCTTGTGTCCTCAACTCCGAACTGCCAGCCAACATACGCATCCACACAATCAGCCAGTTCAATAAGGGCACCTACGACATCATCATCGCCTCGGATGAGCATCATCTTGAGCAGCCGGGTGGCAAAGCGTCCTCCTCGTCCTCCACTGGCAAGCGAAAGTCCTCTCGCAGCGGTGACTTTGAATCGAGTGCGTCGCGTGGCATCGACTTCCAGTGCGTGAACAACGTTCTTAACTTTGATTTCCCACGGGACGTGACCTCGTACATCCATCGGGCTGGTCGCACAGCGAGAGGCAACAACAAGGGATCGGTTCTGTCGTTTGTGAGCATAAAGGAGGCTGCCGTAAACGATGCCGTGGAGCAGAAACTCCACTCTACCTTTGCTGCCCAGGAGGGAGAACAGATCATTAAGTATGTTTTCTGTTTGGATAGCCAATGTGAAGATTTTCTTTCATGTTTTCTTTGAAAATTTCAGAAACTACCAATTCAAAATGGAGGAAGTGGAGTCCTTTAGGTATCGTGCCCAGGATTGCTGGCGTGCTGCGACGCGGGTCGCTGTTCACGACACCCGCATCCGTGAGATAAAAACTGAGATTCTCAACTGTGAGAAACTGAAAGGATTCTTCGAGGAGAACCAGCGTGACCTGCAAGCCCTGCGACACGACAAACCCCTTAAGACGATAAAGGTCCAAAACCATCTCTCGGACATGCCCGACTACATTGTTCCCAAAGCCCTGAAGCGAGTAGTCGGCACCGCCTCCTCTTCCTCTTCTGGAGCCTCCACAGCTAAACATCCGCGCCAATCAGCTGCCAAGACAGCGTTTGAGAGACAAAGCAACGATCCTTTGATGGTCAGCCAAGTGGATTTCGGGAAGAAACGACCGGCCCCACGGCATAAAAAGAAAGCCTTGTAAAGGATCTTAGTCTAAGCTCATATTAGTCACTAAAGCGTCTGAAGTTGTTTAATATATTTTAATGTGTGGAGTTTAAGCGAAATACAAAAAATAGTTAATGAAGAATTCTAAATAAGGCCTTTCTCAAGAAATTCAAGATATCGTACAATCGTGCAAAGGCCATATCTCCATCGGATCCTCAAGGGGAATATCTTAAACGATTTCTAGATTCATTCTCCATCGGTCTACATCAAAACCTAGAAACAAAATTTTTGATCCGATTTTTTCTAATGGGTCCACCCTCTGCAAAAATGGGGGAAATTCAAAAAATCCAAATATGGACCTTGCGAAGGCCATATCTCTGTCAATATCTATCGGATCCTCAAGTGGAATACCTCAAACGATTTCTAGATTCATTCTCCATCGATCTGCATCAAAACCTGAAAACATAACTTCGGATCCGATTTTTTCAAATTTCCCTGATGGACCGCCTTCAAAAATGGAGAAAATGCAGATATTCTAAAATATGGACCTTGGGAAGGCCATATCTCGGCCCCGCAAAAATGAGATTCTTCAATTAGAGAGAGAGAGGGAGAGCTTTGGAGTTGCCTCCCTTCCTAACTCAATTCGTACAGGTTCAGCTCCCACCTATCCCGGGTAGCTTTACGGAACCACCTGACGATCGTTGCAAATCCCAGAGACAGCCGGAGATGAATGGCCCAGCTGGAGACCAATTGAGGCGATGATTATCCGAGAGGGCAATAGATCAGCATTGGGGGCGTTTGTGGCAATTGAAAAGGCCGAGGGGGGGTTTCCGTTTTTAACATTTTATTATTGTCATTGAAATAGTTAACATTCATACAATTATTTATTCATTTATTTATAGCGTTTATGCAATACAATAATAATAATAATAATCATGAGAATAATAAAAGAAACTAACGCTCCATCGGTTAGTTTAGTTGTGTGTCTATATAACTGTCTAAATATGGATCTATGGATGGTCGGAGCCGGCGGAGAACAGAGACATAAAGCGGTACCATCGACTAATGTCTATCGTAGCACAATGACTTTTTTTTTAATATCGCTTCGTTACTCGCTAAATTAAATTAAATAATAATTATTCATTTAGCATACATACATACATAAACAGATAGATATATATGTATGTTATAAGGTAAATATCCCTATAGATAGAATACGCTCCGATATCGAGGCAGTTGTATTTGACTATTTCGGATGGAGGAACAACAACAAATTATTTGTAAATACGGTAAGATATTGTATAAACTTAAAGGGTTATATAGGAAGGGTATTATAAGGATTTAAATCAAATTTAATCACATCGCAAATGGAGGAGGTAAGAACTAAAAAACTCATACTGTTATCGTGTTTATATAATCATTTATACTGTTATATACTGATATACTGAGGAGGTATGCAAAACGAAACACGCGACAAATTTTATGAATTTTTAGACTAAAATGCAGCCATACACATTCATGTATCTATGGTATATATTATATATCGTATAATGTCTCTATAAAGGTTTCATCTTCTTCTTTTATTTTCTCAGTATATGTATTTAATATATACTATATCGATTTATGCTTCATGTTTTTACGATGCTAAAAAATTTGCTTTTCTTGTTTTGTAACTCAAACCCAACATTAATATCCTTGCTGGTTAGCTTTTCATCCTTTCGGATTTGTTGGATTTGTTTTTCGTTTTTCATAGTTTTTCTTTCTTAATAGTTTTTTTTTTTTTTAACACACATACAGAACTCGTTTAGATTATTGTTTGCAACAAGACGTAAAAATGTACATATTTCATCAAAAAAAAAAGTGTATCTTGCTCTCTAATTGAAATTGTTGTCCCAAAGATCATTGCTGATCCTTTCTGGTTTGTTTGCAGGACCTTGGTATATACACAATTTTTCCATAATTTCCTTTTATCTATATATAAACATATATACGTATATATATATATATATATCTATATAGGCAAAATTTCGTAAAGTTTAGATTTCGAATGACGGAAAGAAGAAAAGAAAAAAATAAAATATAGAACACGCACACACAGACACACATTAAAATAGACCCGACGGCGATATCCTTAGCCGATTAATTGGATCTCCATTATTTTTCGTTTTTTTTTCTTTGTTTTTTTTTGGATTGGATTGTGGGATGTGGTTGTGAGTGCGAGCGGTGTTTTCTTTTTGGAGACGACGATGTTGTTATCCCTCTTAGATGGGCACATAGTTGCCTTTGGGCTTGTAGAACATCTGGCCGCTGAAGATGCGACGACGGATTTCGCTGAGCAGCAATCGTTTCTCCTTCTGGATCTTCTTGAGCACACCCTTGTTCTCCTGGGCACGACGCGACAGATACGGCAGCACCTCCTCCACGGGTCCGTACGGGATGTACTTGTAGGCCGAGTAGCCCGCCTGGCCTAAAAGTTTTTATACAAAAAAAAATAAATATAAATATTTTTAGAATTATTTTAGTGGCAGAAATACTTACCCAGAGGGAAGGTGATGTAGTCGCACATGCCAAGCAGTTGGCCAAAGCAGATAACCTTGTCCTCCGGCGAGATTCCAATCTCCTTCATCTGCTGGATGGCAAAACGCACTGTGTCCTCGTTGTGGGAGGCAACCATGATACCAATCTTACGGGCATCCTCACCGCCATCCTTCATCAACTATAGAAAAACCATTAAGTTACTATATGATACCCGATACTCTCAGAGTTAAGCCCACCTTGATGCGTCGCAGACACTCGGACAGGGTCTTGTGGTACATTTCAGTGGTGGCATCGAAAGTGGGATTAACCGGATCCGGATAGCCGAGGGCCTGAGCACGAGCCCGCTCCTGCTCCATGTAGGCACCGCGCACCAGCTTGGCGCCAAAATAGAAGTTCTGGCGCTTGGCCTGCTCCAGATCGGTGCAGACCTCGCGGAAGGTTTCGCGCAAATAGCACTGGTAGGTATTGAAGACGATCGCCTTGTCCTTGTTGAACTTTCGCATCATCTCCAGGGTGATGCGGGAAATGGCCGGTTGGAAATAGGTTTGCTCAGCATCCACCATAATGCGGACATCCAATTCGGCAGCAGCCTGAAGAATATACCAGGTTTAATATATAAGTTGAAGGAGGATCAGGAATAACTAACCCTAACGATGGTGTTCAGGCGACGAATCATATTCCGGAACATCTCCTCCTCTTTGGGCGATATTTGTGAGATCAGTCGACGCATCTGTCCGGTTTGGGGATCGGGAACGCGGAAAGTATCGCTCAGTTGCGAGTCCTCATCTACGATTCCAGACCAGGGGAATAGATGCAGGATACTACCAATCAGATATATGATTAGAATCAATTGTTTGGAATCGAAAATCGAATTAGGCCATACCCTTCCTTGTCGGATGTAACATTCTTAAGAAAGTCCTTGACGTTCTTATTGTCGCCGAGACTGGCATAATACTTCTCGAGATCCTTGATGGTCTTGTGGTGGGTGAGCACATTTCCCTGACCGCCCACCATCTCCTCCATGTAGCCACGTGTGCGCATGATTACCTCAGAGAGTTGTAGCTACAATAAGGATGTTGGTTAAGGATATATAATAATTCTATATAGGGAGTACTACCTACCAACAACTGTGGACGGCCCAGGGCGGTAAGTTTAATGGCCGTAATGCCAGTTCCAAAGGTGGCGCCTATGGTTTTAAGAGAAAGCATTGGGAGAAAGATATCGATGAATGCGATGTGATGGAAAAGGATATATAGATACGCTCTCAAGGATAAGCGGACATTAAACAGGAGCAGGAGCATAATTAAAAATAAAAGCAACCAAAAAATTACACATATAATATAACTAACTACATGACACGAGTGCAGGATACAGGATACACATATATATAGATACAGATACACAGATATACAATCTATATAGCTACGACAATATCGATTATCAGTATCTTTTACAGTTAGCCACATCGATTAGCTAAGAACGCACTCTAAAATGGCCCAAAATGTTCAAACTCGTTGGCTTTTCTCTGTCGGAATGGATACTCTTTGTTTTTTTTTTTTTAAGATATTTTGTTGAAAATACTTGTTGTTGTTGGTGTTTCATAAGTAATAGTATTTTTGTAGTGTGGTTTTGTTGTAATCGGCTTACCCGTGGCCACTGCCCGGGGCGCCTTGCGATCGTCCTCTTTTTCAATGGAATGGATACGGATTTATGATATAAGGCGGGGGGATTTTTGATTTGATTTTTGATTTGATTTTTGATTTGATTTTTGATTCGATTTTTGATAGTGCCATTTGGGGGATATTTGCGGATTTCATTTCGAGATTGCGGGGCAGAAGAAAGAATTAATTAATTATCAATTTTTCACAAAGCTCCGATCAAGGAGCTCAAGTTTTATATAAAAAGCGATAGTCGGGAAGAGATGGTGAGAGAGAGATCAGGAAACAAGTTCTTATAGAGAATATCCCTACTAATCCTAACAATGGCGATGCTTCTGTTCAAAACTCATGCTTTACACTAATATATAATGTTGCATTTAAAAGAAAAAAAAATATTAATTAAAATTTGCTGAGTGAATTATCATGCTTATGTACAAAAAATTGATAAGGACTCGGGAGGAGTGAAGGAACAGCAACATCGTAAGGGCAGATCATTGCAGAGATCGTTCCAAAGACATACCGGAAACAGCCTCCAGACACTTGATGAAGATCTCCATGTTGCGCTCACAGGTGGCCTCGTTGAGATAGAAATAGGTGCGAGCACTGCTCACTTTATAGCGCCGATCGGCAAAGGACTTGTCCACATGATACTGGGGCATGGCGCCCTCCTCCTTGTTGTCGCCGGCACTGGAAACGGAAGATCTAAAGGAGAAGAACAAAAGGATTAGCTATGAAATCTTAAAAAAAAAAATACAATAAAAGACTTACTCAACTTCACGCTTCTCAGCCTCCTCCTGGGAGATATCCTCCTCGACGGAATAGTCAAGAATGGGCTTAACCCCAAACGATCTTAGTCTGTAATAATTAAGATTATAATTAATAAATGTCCTAAAATCCTTTTATTCACATACACATATTAGTAAAATCATAAAATTTTGATTGTGTTTGGATTAGCAGTCGTGGGGAGGCGAGTTTTGGTTTAAAAAAGTGCATTCCGGATGGTTTTTGGGGGGCATTACGGATTCGGGGTTTATAGATCCAATAGATCGAAATATCATGCTGGCTTTTGGATTGAGAATTGCATAACCGATAATATTTCTCAGTCCTGGGGACATTTACAAAAAAATATATACACACAATAGCGATAATTTATTAAATTTTGTAATATAATTTTTTTCAGAATTTTAGACCGCTAATGTATATATAAGATTTCGATAATTTTGGGGGGATGCAATATTATGGTGGTTTTGGATATTGGTTTTTGGAGGTTAACCTCTCTAGGGCGGGGACAATCGTGTGTCGGTTCTCGCCGGCCACAAAATGTCCGTAGAAGCTGGACTTCATCAGCAGGACAAAAAGCCTCGTTCCCAGAACGTTGCGCGCCAGTTTCAGTAGCTGTTTATCGATGTTATCGATGATATATCGATGATTGTCGTGAGGATAATCGTGTGTTTTTGTGTTGGGCATTTGAAGCGGGTGGTTTCGCATAACCGTTTCGCAATCATAATCGGTAAATTGAGTGATCGGGTCAACAAAAATCGATAACAAAAACGATATAGCGCCAGAAGAAAGCATAAATCAAAGGATATAAAAAAGATACAAAAAAAAAAAGAGAAGAAAAGAAAAGAAAAGAAACAAAAGCGATAAGTGAGTGGGTTTTGTCGTGACAATAAATTACCTTTCCAGTGTGGGTATGATCTTGATCTGATCCTCGCCGGCGACAAAATGGCCATAGAAGGTCGCCTTCATAAATGCTGTAAATATGCGTTGACCGAATACTTGCTTTGACCATTTCATAAGCTGCGAAATTTTCGTTTGTTTTTTTTTAGGCGGTATATTATTTTTTTTTAGTATTTTAATTTTTTTGTTAATTATATATAATGTTTTATTTGTTGTTTGGTAGGCATTTGTAAAAATTAAACAATGAATATGATATAGTTTTAATTATTTAAGTTTAAAAAAAAGATATCTTTATGTATATACAATTATTTTCCCATAAAATCTATTACTCTCTCATGTTCCATGTTCCACGTTTAGCTGCTTCTGGCCATAAATCATTTGGATTTCGGCCAAAATACAAAAAACTTGAACAAGTCAAGGCCAAGAAGGCGTTGCCAAAGTCCAATTATAAGCAAAAATGCGACAAATAAGTGAGTGGGCGGGAAGAGTCTCATTTAAATGCCGAATTTCGAAAAAAAAAGAAAGCCCAGATAGTCCATCAACCCGGCCAATAGATGAAAGATGATTAATACAATACTTTCTAGGAAATATCCTTATCCTAACAACCATCCTAGCTGCCAAGTACGAAGTAATCAAGGGCGTTGCCCTTTCTGGGAAGCCTTATTATGAAATATTTGCTGGGGCGCGGGCACACGTGTGATGCGGGATCCATCTCGGATGAATGACATGGTGCTGGTGCTCCAAGGAGAAGGCTCCATCGTCTCGGTCTCCATTTAGGGAGAACCGGTTTTCTCTCTTTCTCTCTATAGAGACGACACTAAGTAATTAATTGAGTGCACAAAGTTAAAAAGCCGACAGGCAAAAAAAAAAAAAAAACTGGTTACATAAAATAAATTCTCACTTTTCGATTCTGGTGCCTTTGTTTCGGTCTTATTGCTTTTCGTTTTATCTAAATTTTTTTGGCAAACAATTCGAAAAAGTAATCGCATTCGAGGAAATCGAGGACAGGTGTTTGTCGTTGAGCTTTGGCCCCAGAAACGACTACTAAGAGGCCCTACCCCCCTCCAAACACTACCCTCTAATATATATACTATTATACGAAAGGCAACAACCCCCCTCCCCCCCACCCCCTCCCTATCCCTGTGGATCCATTTACCCATTTGCTCATATCACGAGACCCGTCGTCGTCGTCGTCCGTCAAAGCAAACGACGCGATACTGTAAATAGAACTAGCAACACCCGACACTTGCCACTTGCCACAAAAAGTTCAAGGAAATCGTTAAAAAAAAGCAGAGCCATTCATATTTTGTTGCTTGGTGTTTTTAAATCGGTGAGGATATAGGATATAGAGGTCTAGAGTTGGAAATTGTGGGAGTGGATAAGAGTATGACAGATGGATGGTCCCGCGGACAGGGCTCTGAAGAGACTTTGGAGGAGGTCCTGAAGAAGAATAAGCTAACTTTGTACGATTTAGGATATATATCTTTGAGCTTTATTATAGATAATAGAGATGATAGTAGAGAATAGTGACTATATCTTTGAAATAATGAAATTAACGGACACGCGGACAGGGCTTTCTATAGACATTGAAGGTAGTCCTTATTAAGAAAAAGCCAACTTTATACCATATAGGATATATAACCCATACTTTGAAGCTTTGTTACACATAAAAGATTCTATATCTTTGAAACATAGAAGCTAACGGACAAACGGACACGCGGACAGGGCTCTATAGTGAGTTTGAAAGAGGTCCTTGTAAAAAAAAATCAAACTATATAGGATTTAATATATAGAACCTATGCTTTGAAGCTTCAGTATGGATAATAGAGGCTATATCTTTGACATATAGATATAAACGGACATGCGGACACGGGGACAGTGCTATTTATTGTCTTTGGAGGTAGTCCTTATTAAGAAAAGAGCCAATTTTATATGATCTAAGATATATAGCTCACTTTTTTAAGCATTAATATGCAATACAGAGGCTATATCTTCAAGAAGCTGAAACTAAAGGACATAGGGACATAGAAATAGACTCTGTAAGGATTTGGGAAGTAGTCTTTAGAAAGCTTTAAATAATAAAAGAATAAAAACAACTATAAAAGAAGCCTTAATCAAGCTAATATCCTTAAGATAAAGACTCTACCAGGTAGAAATAGGTATCCTTTTGGTGGCTAAAGATAAACCCTTACTTATATACCCCCTAGGGTGAAAAAGTAACCCCACATCCCTTTTAAATATTTATGCCAGTGCTTGGGAAGGGCAGCAAACGTATGAATGACTAATGCCACAATATAATATAATTTCCCCAGGAAGCCACCTACACTCCTGTCCTGCCAGCCAGCCAGCACCTTCCCCATGTGGCAGCCATTTATGCAAATTGCATGTAGCGCAAAAAAAAAATAAAAATAAAAAATAAAAGCAACTAAAAAAAAAAACAATAAACAAGCGACGCATGCACTTTGAGTAATCGATTAACAATCAAACGACTGCCATGCAATATCCCCTCCACCGACGCAATTAGGGGGGGTGCTGCTGCTTGCCGCATTATAATGGGAGGTGGGGATGGGGGGTGGTAGAGCTTACTTGCCCCATTACGTATTGTTTTCAGGCAGCTCTGTAATCATCTCAATCTCAATCTAAAAAAAAAAAAAACAAGCCCTTTCATCTTCATTCTTGGCCAATCAGTCGCCTTATTCACGACACACGAGCTCCCTCAATAATTTGTGTGGGGACTGCAACACCTGTCTGAGTAGTCTACGGAAAGCAATTAGCAATGAATTCATCATCAACCAATGCAGGGCGGGGGCAGAGGCAGGGGCAGGGCAGAGGAGGACAAAATGCCACCTGACACAGGTTAGAATGTCACGGGAACTAATGGGTCAGAAGCAGCAGGTGGAACAAGATCAGGGAACGGAAAGGTTACGCTCTAAATGGGTGAAGGCTCTAAACTAAACAGACTTGGAACTTGAAAGATCATATAAGATATATTAGTCAAGATCTAGATCCTATCGTCAACCCCCCCAAACTCACCGTCATGTTGTGCTCAACTAGCTTCTCGCTGGAACAGATCATATAGACTAGATAGGCCCGGACCAGCTCCCACGTGGTCTTGCTCTTGAAGGCGGCTATCGGATCATTGAAGCTGACATCCAATGGATCTCGCTGTGGCGAACCGGCCGGCGAGGATGACGATGATGATGGCGGTGAGCATTTGGTGCTCTTCGTCTTATGGTCGACCTTCAGGGCGGGCTCGGCATAGGCCGGCTGGGCGACGGTGGAGGCCTGCAACGGCTTGTTGCCGGAGTGAAGGAATCGTCGCGTCCCATGACCACCATTGGATGGTGTTAATCTGCTTAGTGGTGATACCACTACCGATTCATCAGAGTCCTTGGAGGCTACAACGGCGACTGCTGCTGGGGAGGAGCGTGTGGCGGTCTGGAGACTCCTTCGGGCGACAACGGCGGCACTGCCGGACTTGCTGCTATTACGGCCGTAGACCAAACTGATGGCTGTTCGTTGGGCGCTCAGTGAACGGAGTAGAGCCATTACAATCGCTTCTCTTCCGAGGGGGGAGATGGGGGATTTTCGCTTGGGCTGTTTTTTATTTTGTTTTTCGATTTCTTTTATTTTTTCAATTTGGATTCAGAATCGGCAACTTAATCTGCAAGAAAGAAACAGTTTAACAAAATAATAAACATCAGGTCTATTGAATCAGCTGTGATTTCGAAAGCTTTCTAACTACACTTAAAAAAAAAATAGGCTTTCCTCTTTTTTTTTTATAAAATTTTAAACTGAATGGAATTATGAGAGAAAGGGGGTTCTACATTCACAAATCCTTTTAAGGGATATTATTGTCTGTCTCTCTCAGTTATTGTTTTCCGTGTACACGTTTTTTTTCTCGTTTTCTCAGAGATGTTATACAATTGCAAAAAAAAAAAAAAAAAAAAAACTGGGAGAGCAAGGGAGCACCGAAAAAAAAAACAACACAACACACGTACGCTATGTACACCTCAGAATTTCAATTAAAAAAAAAACAAAAACAACAAAAATATTCAATTTCGACTGCAAATTGTTAAATGTTCGCACAGCTATTCGATTTTTCTGACTTTTCTATTCCTTAGTTATTTATACTATTTATTTTGTTATATTCTTTTCAATTGCTTTTTGGTTTTTCGTTTTATTTGCGATTTTTTTTTTTTTATTTTATTTTTTTTTTTTGTATTTTGGCGTCGAAGCTGTGTGCGCCGCAAAAGCACGAAACAAAATGTGAAGCTCAGCGCGCTACTCTGCTCTGGTGCGACGGCGGCGAATTCTGAAACGAGGGGGGAGCGAATTCAAAGGCTGGCGAAATCGCTCGAAGCGAAAACTTAAGGGCAAAAAAAAATAAAAATCCTGCTCGCCTTACATAATAGCTTTCACGTGTGACGTCACAGAAGGAATCAAAGCCGAAACTCGAGCCCCCTTTTCTGAGTTTTCTTTTTTTTGCTTGTGACTTTTTTTTTTGGGATTTAATTGAAATGCGCCGCAGCCACAATTAGTAATTGGTGTGTTAATGGGGGGGCCTCCTGCCGCTACTCTCTCTCTCTCTCGCTCTCTCTTCTTATTCTCACTCTGCACTCAATTAATTAGCGGCTTGCTAATAAATCGCCAGACGTGGAGAAGCTGCAATCAAATCATTGAACATTTCATTGAACAGATTTCATTACAGTTCGCGGGGCGACAAATTGCAAACACAGCAGAAAATTAAACCAAAAAAAAAAAAAGAATAAAAATAAAAGTAATAATACTTTTGTGGGGTTGGTTGCCAAGCGAGTCAAAAATTGCTTCTCGTTGGGATGAAGTAATTAAGGGCTGGGGGCACGAGGGGGTTATAACTCACTACACACTGCCTATTATATAACACTGGTCTCTAGGACAGATCCTTTTTGGTAACACACGCGCACACCTTTGAATTCGCCGCAATTGTGGCGAATTTTCCTACCCCCTTTTTGGCAGCAACCACCTTACTCCTCACTCCTCGCTCCTTCCTCCTACTATCCCTCTCTCACACACACACTCTTCTTCTTGTTGTCCTTTTTGTGTGGGTGGGGGGTGGGGGGCGGTGGGGTTTTTGGTAGGGATGGAACACTTAAAATTTCTTCAGTCTCCAGAAATCCGTTAGTTTCGTAAAAACAATAACAGTATTAAAAAAAGTAATAATTAAAATTAGGCGATTTAGGCGTGTTGGCCGAGAATATGACGGAATCTTCTTAGGAATTGGAATCCTGTCTATTTTTTTTTTTTGCTATAATATGTTGTTTTTTCTGCCCAATTTTGTACACCAAAATAAAAACACACTTCTCAGTGCCCCGTCGAATGTGTTTGACAAACTTTTCAATGCAAGACATGAAAATATTAAGAATTTTGTAATTCCTACCTCAGCAGAACACGCACACGCACACGCACACACACCTTTTTAGGGAGGTCTTTTTTTTTTTTTTTTTAATTTCTTTTGCGAGGGTTTTTTTTTCGGTTTGATCTATTTGTTTGGTGTTGTTGTTGGTGCTGCTGCGAAAGACACACACGAAAAAAACGCTCGCAAAAAAAAGACGGCGGAGAGCGAGAACTGCAAAGGTCTGACGCCGCGACGAATCTGAAAAAGCTCCACATCCAAATGCTTGGCGAGAGTGGTAGCGCCGAATGGTAGACGAGAAAATCAGTCAAAAGCAGTCGTGGCCGTTACGGGCGGTTGGGGGTTTTTTGGGGCTTTTGGGGTGGAGAGCAAAACGAAAAAAAAAAAAAAAAAAACTGAGCAGCAGCAGCTGTCTACAGTTGTTGTTTGCCTTGCACGTGAGCGCAGGGCAAAAAGAAAGCTGAAGCGAAAAAAAAATCGAAATGCAAAAATCATGCGACTGCCGCCATCTTCTTCTTCGGGCAGAGCCCCAATTTCCGGCCAATTGCAGCCAACCGGCTTATCTACATCCCCGGCGGTTGGCCAGTGACACTTTCTTATCAGTAACTTACTCCCTCCTCCTCCCCTGGACATACTACCTTTCTTATCGTGACGTTTTTTTTTGCCAGCCGGCTATGCAGCTGTTCAGTGTGACCGCAGCTTGTTGCAAAGTTTTCAGTCGCCATCTTTTTAAACCACTTATCGATAACACGCTTGAGACCAGCTCACAGTTATTATCGAGCTTTAAAATTCAAATTTGAAATTATGGCGCCAAATACTGAAATTCATAAGATTTTGAAATAAAAACCAGTATCCAGTATTACATTACATTGAATATATTTGTGTTGCAAATTGCCATTGACAAATGTTGCAATAAATTATATCTAAATATTAGAAATAATAATTAACAGTTAATGAGCGTTCGACTTGTGTTGATATCGTTGTTGGATTCTTGCCTGTTTTGGCGTCGAACGCGATGAAAGAAGAAACTTAACAAAAAAAAAAAATAAACAGAACAAGTTATCTAAATATATATGTGTACATATATATATATATAGACAGTATGCGTGTATGAAATTGAAGGGGGTTTCTCGCCCACATCATAACAAAAATACATCTTCTCCTGCCGTCTCTCCTTTTGCCATTTCCTTACCGGCGGCCTTCGCTTCTCTCTTCTTCTTTTCATCTTTCATATAATATTATTGACTAAATTGTAATAGATCAACGAATGTCTGTTTCTCCATCATATCTTTGACGCACCGCCAGCACCAGCGTTTTTTAAATTAAGTCTTCCATGCAAAAGGAGAGCTTACTTACTACATTTTTTCTAATTATGTGGCTTTTTGGATAATAAAATAAAATAAAATAATGTTTAAAAATGAATATGTCTGCTTGACTTCTAGAAAGTATGTTACGTATTTGGGTTACAAAATAAAAAGGAACACCTCAAAGACTTCGTTTCATTTAAGGCATAACGTGTTTAAGAAAAAAAATATAAAAATTTTAATGAAAATTGGTGATGCTGGTGCTGGTGGTTATTCTACTACTGCTGATGCTGGTGGTTATTCTACTACTGCTGATGCTGCTTCTGCTTCTGCTGCTGCTCCTGCTTTTGTTGTTAGTAGTGCTGCTGTCGCTAGTTGGACTTGGTCAGCTCAGTGCGATTGGCGGCCACTTCGGCCAGAATGAGTAGATCTGAGGTAGAGGAGGTCTCTTCCAAGTTCGGCGAGGAAAAGGAGGAGGAGTTTGAGGAGAGCGGCGACGAAGAATTGGATGCCACAATCGTTACTGGGCCACTGGTCGCCTTGGGGACAGGACTCTCGTTGAAGTAGTAGCACCCGTTGATTGTTAGCGGCAGAATGGAGGCCACCTCCTGCTCGATGGCACTCACGTCCCGACGTGTGATGCTCTCCTTCCGAGCCTTGCGTCTCTGACTGCCCACGGCAGCTGCCTGTTGCCGCTGATGTTGTTTCTGCAATTGTTGTTGCTGCTGCTGCTGCTTGATCCGCTCCAGATCACCAGCAACCACCGCAGGATCAGGGAGAGCCGCTCTTGCCCCACTTGAGCTGCTATTCAGGATGTTCCTTTGCTTCCTACTGCCGCTGAACTTCTTCTTCTTTTTGGTACTGCGCTTGCGCTGCAAATATGCATCCAAACTGAGAGCCGGCAGCTCCTTGATCCTCTCCTCCAGATTGAAGAAGCCACTGCTGCTCGACTCGGACACACTGCGCTGATGCCTGCTGCTCTGCGGGCGTTCTGGTGGCGAAATGGGTGGAGTATTCGGTGCTGCGTCCAATGATGTATCCGTAAAATTTCCCGAAACTGTGGGATTCCTGTTCTTGCCCTTCTTGTTGATGGCCGCCAGCTGGCCGGAGTTGACCAGCTCCTGGTAGATCTTGCCCTTGCACGAGCGTGATGATTTGGCTTTTTTATTTGGCGAACCGGTCGCTCCCCCCTCCTCCTCGCTGGAATTGCTAGACTGGCTGTCGAACGATCGCTTGAGGCCAGTGGCAGGCTGATTGCCAGTAGCACCTGGCATGTGGGCGGATAGAAATTGGCTGGTCTCACTGAGGACCTGTTGCAGGGCGAAGTCCTTCTCCTGGACCTGCACCTGGAGCAGTGAACTCAGTTCTCCCATCTGGGTTTCGTCGGCCAGCTTAAAGTAGTTGCTACGCAACAGGTCCAATGGTATCTTCTGCAACTGCAACTGAGTAGGATGTGGCGATGGCTGATTATCATCGCCAGAAGATCCAATTCCGCCCGTAGCAGCATTACTGGGACGGGTTGCTAGTGTTCTTAGGGGCGGAGCGGGTAATTTGTACCACTTGAAGTTGGGATTGGCATTAAAGAAGGCGTCCTTGTTCTGTAAAGAGCAGAAATCTTTTAGGAAATTTTCCAAAAAGTGAAAAGCGAACTTGAAAACTCACCTGCTGCGCCAAGTCGGTGAAGCAGTGCTTCTCTTGCTCATCAAGTGCGGCCCACCAGTCACCCAGGATCTTCGTAATGGCTCTAGAATATGTTAGGATGCTGTTAGAATGGCCATCGTCTGAGTAGAGTTATGAGAACCTACCGATTCTCCAGAGTCTTGTAGCGCTCCTTGACGATGGCGCGATGTCGCTTGCAGAATATGAGGAACGCGTTCATGGGACGGCGGGCATGGTGCTCGGGTTGAATGATTTCCACAGCTTCCTTTTGATGTTTCTCCTGATCGCATTCTTGTTCTGGTTGCGGAACCGTAACCACATCTACATGTTCTTCGGTGTCTTCGCGTCGGATGCGTGTAACTTCTTGCTTTGCAGGCACCTGGATCTTTGCTCCTGCATCAGCCTCATCGTCGTCCTCCTCCTCTTCCTCCTCGTCCAGCTCTTCCTCCTCGTCGTCTTCCACGTCATCGTCTTCGCTGCTATAGTCCTGCAACTTGGCATAGTTGTGCACATCCTCGATGCGTCGAAAGGCATTTTCTTGGTCCTCAGTGCGCTGGGTTGGCTGCTGTTGGGCTGCTGATGGGTTTAAAGTGGTGACTAAGGCACTTTTGGTTGCAGCAGGAGCTTCGACCGCTCTACCCACTGACATTATGGCTTCTGCACTATCTCCACCGCCCACAGTTGGTGGCTTTCCTTTGGGAATAGGCGCTGGCAGCAACCGCAGACCGGCGGGAAATCCTGTCACAATTCCCACAGAGTTTCCTCGGGTAACTCCCAGCATAGTGCCCGATGCTAGCGTAACGCCACATGATCTTGGCTGGAGTCCCTTCAGGGTCTGCGCTACAGGGCCGATTCCTTTGGAAACTCCCATAATTGTCGACGATGCTGGAGTTACTAATATCGAGGCGGCTCTGGGCACTGCCCGAAAGGCTCCCAGCGGCGAAGCAGCCGAGACACAGGATCCTAGCGACCGATATACTGATCCAGATCCATCGTTGATATTTTCGAAAATTTTTCGCATTTCAGTTGTTGATTTCTCGCCATTGTTGTTGTTATTGTTGTTGTTGTTGGTGGCGTTGCTATTATTATTGTTGTTGTTGTTGTTAGCATTTTTGATGTTCATTTTGTGCTCTACAACTGTTTTAAGGCCAGCGTACATGTTGTTGTTTTTGTTACTATTATTATTATTATTGTTGGTGTTATTGATATTATTATTATTGTTGTTGTTTTTGTTGCAGGCAAAGTGCAATTTAATTGCAGCACCTGCTGGCGTCACCTGCGCTGCTGCCTGCTGACCACCGATCATGTCTTGTATTGTTTATCACATCGGCTGTGTAGTATCCTCGAACATATCACGCACTGCAAAAAGATAATGGCAAGATATAAGCTTTGTGGTCTCGACTTCTTTCAATATCCTAGCCCTGATTGTTTTCTTTCTGTGCTTTAATGCTTGAATTTCACAAATGCAAAAAAATATGGAATGGTGTTGCCAGTGTGGCTGGAAAATTGTTTGGCAACCCTGTTGTTTACAAAAAATCGAGAACGCGAGAGAGAGAGAGCTTAAAAATAATGAGAGCGAAGCTGCGTCAGCATCAGTGGCGGGTGTCCTTAACCGATCAAGGGGATCAATAAAGTGTCTATCATTCTAAAAATTCAATTTTCATGTGATATTTGATTAGAGAGACAAAAACGAAAATGGTAAAACAAACAAAGGGCTAAGAAAGCTCCAAATACCTCGATCCCCCCGGACGACGCCTCTTATCGTTCACTATCAGCTTAAAAACAACAAAGCCTATCTATCAGCTGTGTGTGTTTGTGGATCCTTAAACAATAATAACGCCTTATATTTCAAATTATGAAACTTTTATGCCTCTCTTTCAGCTTTTTTTTTTTTTGCGCAGAATGAATAATTATGAAGAAATTTCACTTTTTTTTTTTAATTAATATATATATGTATGTATGTATATGTGTACACGATCGGTCGATGAATACATAAGCTTGAACTTGCGTAAATAAACTCAACGAGTATAGAAGATATTTGCAAAGGAAATGAATAAACAACAAAGGCGACGCACTCACAGTAACAACAACAACAACAACAACGAAATCAGAATAAGAATCAGAATCAGCGAAAATGAAATGAGAGAAGACACCCAATAAAAGTTATCGCTTTTTTTTGTGTGTTTGTCTCTTCGAAACTCTTTTCAACACTGTATTGCCAGGCTTGCAAAAATTTTGAGCGAAACTTTCAAGTTCCGTTCGAATTGTATATTGTTAACGATTTTTTTTATTGTTTTTTTTTTATTCATTCCTATTGCACAATTATCTGACAACCAAACAAAAATATAAAAAAAAAAATGTTGAGAAAAACAACGCACACACAAAAACAACAAAACTAATGTCTACGTGTACAGCTGAGCGTATGCCGGTGTATGTGTGTATGAGAGAGAGAGAGAGTGAGCGGCCAGAAAGAGATGGTCTGCCTGTTGTTTTTGTTGTTATTTATTTTTACTTCGATTTTTTGCACTTTTGTTTTTTTTTTGTTTTATTTTTTTTTTTGTATATTTGTTTAGTGGGAACTAATTGTGTTTTGGTGTTGTTCCGGTGGGAGGATCGCTAGGACTGCCACTTGGCGCAAGATTCAAAAGTGCAGCTGTCAGCTGTTGGTTACCGTTGGCTTTTATCTTGTTGTCCCGCTCTGGTGCACTCACACCGATATACACGGTCAAGGCCAAGCCATTTGGGTAGATGGGTGGCGGCGCAGTGAGGAGAGGGGTATTTCTGCCATAACCTTCAAACGGCCAGTTTCCTACATTTCTAGGTTATGTTTACGACTTTTATGATACAATTTTAAATAATAACTTGTACAATATAGAAAGCAACACCCCCCTCCCCCCCAACTTATCGAAAAGTTCTTCCACATATGTACTATTCACTCTCACACACACATACACGCATACACATTCATGCTCCCCCCCACAAACACCAACAAAGAACAGCTGATGACGTTTGTTATTTTGTGCGCGTCGCTTAATTTTCGCACAAAAACAAAAATCATTGTTTTGTTAAATGAAAAACTAAAGTTATCGCGCTGCCATAAATAAAGCCCCGTTTCAAATACCGAAAATTTTGTGATTTACTTGAAATAACCGCACCAGAAATATTCGCCGATGATACTGTATTAATTTGAAGTTGCCTCCTGCTCTTGTTTTAATTAAATTTCAATGTTGATGATGTCAAATGAGAATGAAAACTGACTGTGTTTTTGTGTTTTTGTGCTGGCAGAGCAGCACAGCGTCAACGGCGGCGTCGGCGACGACGACGTTGGGGCGACGTCGTGCCGCACAATGGGCCCACTTATACCGTTACTTCAATAAGGATAGCCAAAGATAATATTTCAAAAGATCATTTTTATCTTTTAAGAAGTAATCTTTGCTTTTGTCTACTTGTTGATTCATGAGGCAAACTAATATTGTTTTTTAGAAATAGTCTCACAAAAATAATATTCTTATTAAGATTTTAAAAACTTTTATTTTAATTATAATAATTATTTTTTTTTTTATTATCATCACTAGATATCCCACTGTTCGTGAGTTCAATTGCGCGCAACAACACTGGACAGCGAAATGTATTTAACTTTACTTTTTTTTTTTCTTTTTTTTTTTCCTTTACTGTTCTGCAGGCGCCTCTGCACTGGTATGTGTGCTCTCCACATGCACACACATGCAGCCCCCCAAAAACAATAACAAAGGTAACTGTTTGTGAGCGGCAATTGAGAGATGGTGAGAGTGCCATCTCTTTTGCACCTGCGTTTGGGGCTCAGCTCGCACAGCTGCTTTCTGTTGTTGTTGCTTGTTTACAGTTTTTTTTTTTTGTTTTGTTTGCGAGAGAATTTGCAAAGTGCAGCTGATTTTTCTGCCGATTTACAGAGAATGTTAAGAGTTAAATACAAAATCAGGTGTAAAGAGTTACAAGTTGATACAAAAAAAAAACGGTTCATTGGCATAATTAGCGGACTGACATTTAAACGGTGTATCTCGTAATAGTTTTTTTTTTTTAATTAACTCGATCAATGCAAAAAAAAAAGTTAATTTAAAACTATATTCTCGTGATTTTTTTTAGTTGCATAATAATTTAACAGTTTTGGCCGAACGGTTGCCGATTCGGTTTGTTTGCAATTTGCATTTCTACCGAAGCAGGCAGGGGGGAAACAACAATGTTATGGTTTTTCAAGGTCACCCATACACAGGCACAGAATAAAACACAACCCAGCCACCCACCACCCCCCAACCGGCCCAACAACCTCACTCACTGATTTAAAGGTTCAATTCTCACTTTTTCTCTCTCCCTCTCATTTAATGTGCGTCCCTCTTCGTTTCGCGTAAACAACAACAACAAATCTACAGGCGAGAGAGCGACACAAGCCAACAAACTTGCAATAACTCACACCTACACCTATTAGCTTTCTCACAGGTATCTCTCTCTCTCTAAGTGGTTGTGTGTGTGTAAGATTTTTTTGGGGCGGTTGGGTGGAAGGATACATTATATGTTGCTATCTCTATCTGCACTCATCTGTTTGTTGGTAAGTGAGTGTGTGTGTGTGTTTGTGAGTGTCTGTGTGCCAGTTTTCAGGGTCAGGAAAATTCGATTTTCTGCGCCAGTTTCTCTCTCCTCTACTTCTTCTTCTTCTTCTTCGTGCTTTCCTTGCAACAACAACCAGACGGCATTACAAGGTCGCCAAGTGCATTGAAAAAAAAAAAAACCAACAAGGAGAAGTAGAAACATCAAATACCCTTCTTTTAATGTTAATGAACTTTGTAGGTAGGTAGGTGGGTGGTGTGTGGCATTATAATATTTGTAATTCCAGACCAAGAGCTATAAACTATGTCCGATAAGAGTTATCACAACGGATATGGTGGGAATGCGGGGTGTTTCACGAAGAGGGAGGCTACCACAACGATAAGCGATTATCTTAGACTATAAACATATTCCGAAGGAACTCTATCCCTCGAAAGGACAACTCACCTAGTAAGGATGGAGTATTAGCCGGACTATCGCTTCAGGACATTGATGAAGGTCTCGTGCGGCACTCGAATGTTGGCAAACATTCGCATCTTCTTCTTGCCCTCCGCCTGCTGCTTGAGCAACTTCATCCGCCGGGTCACATCTCCGCCATATAGCTTGGCCGTTACATCCTTCCTATACGCCTTGATTGTTTCCCGGGCCAGGACCTTGCTGCCCACACACGCCTGTATGGCAATCTGGACCATCTGCTTCGGTATGAGATCCTTTAGCTTGAGCACCATCTGTCGGGCCACGCCCGTGGCTTTGGATACGTGGACTATCCGGCACAGTTCCTCCACTGGCTTGCCATTCAAGTGGATGTCCAATCGCACCAGGTTGGAGGGATGGTAGCCGTGATCCTCGTAGGTGAAGCTCGCGTAACCGGAGCTCATGGACTTGAGGCGGTCGTGGAAGTCGAGAATGATCTCGCTCAGTGGCAGGATGTACTTCATGAGGACGCGGGTCTCGTCGATGTTCACGCAACTCTGCTGGAGGCCGCGACGTTCCACACAGAGCCCGATTATCTGACCCACATACTCCGTGGGCGTGATAATCGTTCCAATCACCAGCGGCTCAAAATACTCCTTGATGCTGTGCGGTTCCGGGAATAGAGCTGCATTGGATATGTCCAGGGTGTCGCGACCCTGCTGCTTGATCAGCTTGGGATTACTTAATGTCAGTCTGTAGGTGACCGATGGAGCCGTGATAATGGGCTCCGCACCATGTTCTTGTTCCAGTCTTTGGCAAAAGACCTCCATGTGCAGGAGGCCGAGGAAGCCCAGACGCCAGCCCTGACCGAGAGCTGGACTGGAGTCCACCTTAACGGTGACAGCCGAGTCGTTCAATACCATCTTATCGATGGCACTTCGCAGAGCCACGTGCTTGGACTGATCCGACGGAAAGACGCCGGCAAACACAAGCGGCTGCTGGGGCTTGTAACTCCCAGCGGCGGTCACAGCCTGGTTCTTCAGGTGGATGGTGTCGCCCACGATGGATTCTTTGCTGTTCCGCATGTTGCAGGCAATCAGACCCACCTGGCCGGCCGATAAATCGGGAACCGGAGATTCGGCCGGTCTCAACACAGAAATGCTTTTTACGGGATACACCTTCTTGGTGGCCAGCGATTGGATGTCCTGGTTGAGTTCCAGCTTTCCATTTAGGACATATATAAGATTCAGTGCCCCGCGGTACTTATCGAACCAGCTGTCGAAGATCAGCGCCCGGAACTCGCTCTCTCGCTGCACCTGTGGCGGCGGTATCGCCTCGATGATGCGCTCCAGGACCTTGGAGACCCCTGTGCCCAGTTTGGCAGACACACGCAGCACCTGGGCGGGATCAATGCCAAACAAGAGCTTCATATCCTGGCACACTTGGTCGGGATTGGCGTGTTTGATGTCAATCTTGTTTAGAACCGGCACCACAGCCAGATTACGCTGCTTGGCCAGATGGTAGTTGGCCACAGTCTGTGCCTGGACACCGTGGCAGGCATCCACCAGCAGGACTACGCCGTCACAGGCAGCCAGGGAGCGGGAGACCTGCGTCCAAAGGTAGAGGAGTGGTTAGTTGGTCTGTATTTGGTTTCTGTAGCATAACAATAACCTCATTTGAGAAATCCACGTGACCCGGCGTGTCGATCAGGTTGAGGAGGTAGAGCTGCCCCTGGTGTTTGTAGAAGATTGACGCTGTCTGTGCCTTCACCGTGATACCGCGCTCCCGTTCCACCTGGAGGCTGTCCAGGACCTGATGCTGGCCGGCATTCCTGGCAATTGCGCCTGTCAGCTCCAGTATTCGATCGGCCAGGGTGCTCTTGCCGTGATCCACATGGGCGATGATGCTAAAGTTACGAATGCGGTCAACGGGCATGGTGGCGAACTGACGCAGCAGCTCCCCCGGCGAGGTCTCCGCCGATGACTGTTCCGCCGCCTCCGTCGCTTCGTCCTTGACCCGGTTGGCGGTGCAAAGGGTGCGCCAGTGGGGGGCGTTGGCGGCAATCAGACCTCGACATCGTGGCGGGGATTGGTGCAGCAGCCGGCGAATGGATATCGTCCTGAACATAACCATCTAACCATTACAAAACATGCGGAGTGTGCCTGTCGCCTTTTTCCGAGTTCGCGCCACGAGTTTCTCACACTGCGGTGAAAAAAACGATTCCGCCAGTGTTGCCAGACCGTCGTATGATAACAAGGTTCTCATGATTTTTCCGATTTTAAGGCTCGCATCCAGCGGATTCTTTAACTTGTTGGGTTTCTTCGTACTTAGGGGGTTATATATTAAGAGACAACTCGTCTTCTTATGTTTCAAAGCCTCTTAAACCCGAAACTTATGATAACAGAGGCGATCAGACCACGCTACTTTTGGTATTTAATCAGGTGTGCTGCCAACCTGTTTTTGGCTCATACACTGCAAAAAAAAATCAGAAAGATACTTTTTGTATTTTTTTTCAGGTCATAGCATGGTATAGCTATATGGTAGAGGTTTTATTTTATTGAATAAATTGGAAAACACAGTAAATACATTTTTTGGCTGTTTTGGAAGGCCAATATCCATCGGATCCTCTAGAGGAATACCTTAAACGATTTCTGGATCGATTATCTACCGATCTGCATCGAAACCTAGAAACCAAATTCTGGATCCGATTTTTTTCAAATTTTTCTGATGGATCCCCTTCAAAAATGGAGAAAATGCAGAAATTCCAAATTATGGGCCTTAGGAAGGCCATATTTCGGCCAATATCCTCAAGAGGAGTACCTCTATCGATTTCTGGGTCGATTCTCTACCGATCTGCATCAAAACCTAGAAACAAAATTTGGGATCCGATTTTTTCAAATTTTTCTGATGGATCCCCTTCAAAAATGGAGAAAATGCAGAAATTCCAAAATATGGACCTTGGGAAGCGCATATCTCGGCCAATATCCATCGGATCCTCAAGCGAAGTATCTTATATGACTTCTATATCTTATCCTTCCATTCCGAACCCCCCTGAAGAGTACATCTCTGCTCCCCAATAAGAAAGGTAGATAATAAATAGACGTGTGGTTTATAAATCGTATAAAAAGCATATATATGTATTCATCAGGATTATATTAGGATAAAAAAAACGTTCAAATACATAAAAGAGATTTCACATTTTGGTTTTGTTTTTGTTGCTTCGAGAGTGCGGCTGTCAATCGAATTCGTCACCGAATTAAAGCAGCCTAGTGGTTCGATTCGGGGCTCGCAGGAAGTATAAATGTATAGGAATTGAACCTTTTGCCAAAAAGTTATTAACTAATTCGAGTTGGCGCGTCGCACTCTGCCACACATATACGTGTATGCATATATACATAAACAAATATATATGAATATATATAGGTATAAAATGAAGACATTAATATATGTATGTAGGATAACCTAAACAAAAGGGCTACAGAGTCGATAAAAATTACAAAAAAATTAATCAGCATACAATACAAATCGGGACATAGGAATCGCTTAGCCTAAACTTTTAGCAGAGTACAATAATAATTGTTAATCGCTTTTAAATACATAGTAGGAATACAGTTGTTTTTGTGTTTGTGGAGTGATAGGAGTGATATGAAATGAGTTTTTTGTGTTGATGGTGTTTGGTTTTTTTTTTTTCGTAAATGGAGCGCAATTGCATTGCAGACGTTTTGTTTCGATTTTATATTATGTATATGTATATATATATATGTATATGTATATGTATAGAGTGTGTATAACTAAGACCTACGATTATTAGTGTATATGTATATGAAGAATGCGAAATTAATACAGATTAAATAGCGCCCGTCGTTTCACAATTGAGAGTAGAATTAAAGCGCGATCGCGAACTTAAATCTGCGTTACAAAAAATATATGTTTATGTATATATATATCGATTGCACGACTCGGGTGCTGCTTCTCCGCATCAGCCTGCGTCACTGCTGGGGTCAGGATGAATGGTATTCACTGCTGGGCCTGCATGCGCGCCTGCATTTGGGCCAGCATCTCCTGCATGCGCCGCAGCTCGGCCTCCTTCTCCTGCAGAATGCGATCCTTCTCCGACAGCACACTGGCCTGGCCCGGCACAATGCTTTCCCGCTCCGGCTTAATGCCATTCTCGCCGGTTCCCTTGCCCCCCTTAATGCCCTTGGCCAGGCGATCGGAGCGGTAGTTCTCGTAGTGCACCTCCTGCGTTACTTCCTGCAGGTCCTGCATGTGGGTGCTATTGAGGATTCAAGATGAAGTATTAGCCTTTTACAAGAGAGAGAGAGAGTGAGAGTTGGACCCTTACATTAGCATAGTGCGCAGCTTGATGAAGTCGCAGTGGTCGGGATTCTCAACCTCGACCACGCCCCACGGATAGAGGCGACCGCGAACCTTTTTGCCCTTGACCTCGAGCAGAGTGTTGGCGCCGCAGACGGCGAAAGGCACAGCTTCCTTCAGTTGCTTCACCTGCTCCTTATAGTCTTCATCCTCGTCGGAATCACAGTCTGGCAGTGGATAGATCTTGATGCCGTGGCTCTCGATCTCCTGCATGATGCGGCACTTGAGGCGCAGGATCTCCTTTTTGGTGAGGCAGTCCGCCTTGGCGATCACCGGCACAATATTGACTTTAGAGTGCAGTTTCTTCATGAACTCCACGTCGAGGGGTTTGAGGCTGCAGGTAAGAGTAATAAAATGATATCATCAAGATGAGTAACAAACATCCACCGCCAGATCACCGGTACACACCCGTGTCCAAACGGAGATATAAAGTAGAAGCAGCAATGAATACGATTGTCCACAATGTTGCGTCTGTTTAAGCCACTTTCGTCACGCAGAAAGCGCTCATATTGCTCGTCAATATACTCCAGGATGGCTCCGAAGCTGTTCGAGTTGTCAATGGCATCACCAAAGCCGGGAGTGTCTACCACAGTGAGACGCAGCTTGACTCCCCGCTCCTCGATCTCCACGGTTGAGGCTTCCAGCTTAACAGTCTGTTTTTGTTTCTCTAGAAAAATATTCGAAATAATTACACATTTCTAGGAGTACATGGGGTTTAGCTTACCTATGGCATCTGGAATGATACGTTCCGGGTAGAGGTCCGTAAGGAATAGGCTGTTCACCAGTGTGGACTTTCCCAGGCCGGACTCACCCACCACCATGAGCGTGAACTCGAAGCCCTTTTTCACGGACTTGCGGTGCACCTGGTTGGGTAAGTTGGCGAAACCCACGTAGCCGGGCGTCTCGATGCTAGAAAACTGTAGAAAGTGAAGGACCATTGGTAATTAGTTTAGTGTCCAAGAACAGCGCCACTGGCTGGCGGTCATAGAAAGCTAGGGCCCCTACCCCCCATCCACTAATGGTATTAGCATGCTAGGCACGCACACTGAAAGTTTCTCTGTCGCCGCATATTTATTGGAATTTCTCCAAAAGGGGGCACAGCTGATAAGCATCCGACATTCCGCCCGTATAATCTGGGTCGCCCATAGGGGTATGCTTGTTAAGTGCAGATGCAGTGCATCTGCAAAAACAAAGAAAAATTCTGAAAGAATGCCGACGCCTGGAAAATCGCACAATGAAGCGCGGGGACAACGAACTGCGGCGGCGGGGGCGGTGGCGTTGGCAGAGGCGGAGGTGGCGGCAAACAAACAGACGCAGAGACAAAAAACAGAAGCGGCATCGCCACACCGAAAATGAATCAGCACCCAAGCCAGAAGATCGAAGATGGCCGGTTGGGCATTGTTCGGATAGTGGATAGTCGGTGGCAGGCGCCACGTGGATTTATTAAATACTTGGCTACTCACGCCCTTTGTGTCGGCCATTTTATATTTTTAAATGGTTTTTTTTAATTTAAAACAAAAAAGAAACTCAACGATTGACGAACAAAACTAGAGGTGGAAAAACATCGATGCAATAGAGGTGGACCGCGAAACGGAACGTGCCGGCAACATGACACCAAACGATAATTATCGATATCGCGTCGTTCAAAAGTGGAGACTATCCGTTACTATTTGAATTTGAAACTAAAACCGCCTATAGATTTGAAGAAGTCGTTGCCCCAGTTATGAAAACGTGCCTTTTGCTCTGGCAAAGATTTCAGAGAATTAAAGAAAATTATATTGTTTGGGGCGTTTGTTACGTCGCCAAGTCATTCTAAAATTAGAGCAGCTATATCTGCAGTGCAAGTAGACTTCAATTTATATATTATTTATCAAATTATATATTAATTTCTTTACCACAAAATAGAAAAGCCATTTTTTTTGTTTCATTCCCGAATAGATTATCTAAAGAATGCGATGACGAATTCTAAGGGAATATTGAAATTCAAATAGCATTAATATTTTTCTCCTAGGCTATGGCGTCAATGGGAATTACTTTCTAATAGAAGAACTAACCAAAATGCTAAACCTAAATCAAATCTAAAATTTTGTGTATTTTGTCGTAAATAAATAATTTTAAAAATACCTATTAATATTGATTTAATTCATAGATATTTTGAAATGGTGGTTTTCATAGTTTCTGTAGCATATGATCAGAACCTCTGGTTATTTCTTAAAAATTTCACTACAAATATGTGCTATACATTTTTAAGAACAACATACATTTTTTTAAGTGCTTTTTGTGCCGAATTGAACTTTATGTAAGTCATAAAATGACTTTATAATCGGTGGTGTGACCCCTGACCATGTTGGCATGACTCCTGGCCGGAGGCTGTAATAATTTCTGGATCTTTGGGAGCCACAGCCTACGGAACTTGTTCTGACCTGGCTATGCACTATGGTAAATTTGACCACTTTTTCTGGACAAAATTAATATTGTACCTCAGAACCGAAGCTTGATTTTTTAATACGTTTTTTTTCAGTTGTTTTTTTACATTTTTTATTGCTTAAAATGTTTACTTTAATAATTTTATATTAGCTAATTATTAGCTTACAAAGTTGATTGTGCCTTTTTTAAAATTTTTTTAATAAATTAAGAAAAAAAGGCTGTGAGTCATTTTATTTCGCTCAGATTTCCAGGCACTTGAGCTTACCGAATGAAGTCAGCAGACCAAAAACTCTTATCTGACTGGTGATTAATGCGACGTCGTTGTCGTCGTCTGTAAAAAAGTTTGTTTACTTTTAAAGCCATTTAGGATCGATATAGTCCAAAAAAAGATTACAGAGATTGGTTTTCCATCGGGGAAAACCAAAAGCTTCGGAGGTGCCTCCTTTAAGTATGAATTTCTTCTAAAGTGCATAAGAGTGTACCATTTAATTACACTCATTTGAACAAAAATTTGCACTATTCGAGTTCCAGGTATAAAAGCTGTATCTAATCTTTTCCACACTAATCTAATCGAAGTAATTAACTTATATTATATGTATGAATTAAATGTATAAAGGGAAATACCACAAATTTATTGGCGCTTTTGAGTTTCATGGCTTATAATATACAAACAGCTGGTATATTATAAGAATATAATATCACTGAGCCTAAAACTGGTTGGCGAAGTCCAGAAAGTCGGTCTTGAAAGCCTCGTCGAAAACTAATTCATTTCCGGAGAGAGTAAACTTCAGGCTCACATTCGGACTGTCGACCTCGTCCAGCTTCTGCCTGATCTGCTCCAAAAAGCCGTTCAATTGTTTAAAGCTGGTCTGGTTAGATCGCACGTGAGACTGATAGAAAGGGGATATTAATTGGCTTAAAGACTTAAGGTTATATGTAGTTTGGTGGTTACCTCGAGCAAATCCTCAACGGACTCGACCTCAATCCTTTCGGGCACACATCCATTATCATCGAATTTGGCTACAGCCAACTGACTACCTCCACAAAAGTAGGTCTGAAGGACCCACGAAGGACAGCGAAAAGAGGTTCGCCATTTGACATAGCTTTTAACGACCCTTACGGTGGTTAAAGAGCACTTTTCCAGCTCCTCGGGATCAGTGCTGTGGATCAGTAAATAGGAATTATTATTATTTATAAATTGTCTAAATTCAACTTACAGATCACCGAGCTTTTCGGTGTTTGTAACTCCAACAACCTCGCATGAGTAGAGCAATCGGAATTTCCCAATTCGAGCGGAGAACATTCCATACATCTGGTCCCTCTGGTCTACTGGGGCATTCGTATCGGGTAGTTTTCCTGGCTCATCTAAATGAAAATTTTAAAACACTATTTAAATTTAAAAACCGTCTAGATAACTTACCACTAAATAGGTACTGGCGTGCCTTAAATGAGTATGAATCACGGGCGGAAGCTTCAACATTTTCTTGTAGCATCCTTAGAAAGATACATCCTTTAAACCTGAAGGCCTCCATCGACAAATCTTTGGTAAATGATGTCCTTGGCTTGGCGGTAGTTAGCGTTAGTAGTACTTTGCGGGAGCAAAAGATGTCAAAGTCCTGCCGAATAAACGCCAATTTGTCGACGTGCTCAAAGTAGTACTGCACCATATCGAATTGACCGGGATATTCGTTGTTCCGATGGACAAAGGTCTCATAGTTTTTGGTCAGATCCAGGGGATACTCCTTATCCTCAGGCACTCGAAGGTATTTTATGGTTGATGTCGGTGAAAACTTTTGACTTTCCGGGTCGTAATGCAAAAGGCTTCGCAAACGAATGTTGCTAAACTCCATTATTTCTTGATTCTGGCTTATTTTTAAGAAAAAGATTACAAATTATTTATAATTTTCTTGAGAGTACTTTCCTACTCCCCAACCTACTTTCCTAGCTTCTATTTCAGCTCCTAACTCCTAACTTCCTATTGCGTTTCTGACTGGTTTTTGTGAAACCATTTCTTGAGTTATTACACGGAATGTAAGAATATCCCCAATATCCCCTTTTGCACTTCGTTTCCTTTTTTAGAATGGGAGAACAACTGTATTTGACAAATTTGACTTGTGTGCCGTTTTGCAAAAAAATGAACGAAAATTAATCTGTTTTGGCTAAGTAGCGATTTGAACTAACAATGTTACTGTTTATCACTGAACTGATTCGGCAGTTTGGCGAGCTATTCTTTAAGTAAACTTTATTTATTGATAAGCAGCATTGATAAGCTACCCAATACAATATTTCGTGAATGTACCACAACTTTTATAAATATGTCGCTGTGTGATTTCTAGCAAATGTAGCATTCTGGTAATTGGGAACTCGGGGAATTCCCTGCTTCTGCTTTACCCGTTGATACTGAGCGAAAGCACGGCAGCAGAGGCAGAGACCCTTGCCGCCGACAAATACATATATGTATGTGCATTTTTGCTAATGCTTATTAATATAGCTTCATTCTATTCTCTTTCGTAGTACTGTTATTTAAAAAATATGTTGGTGCCACGGGTGTTGCATAGTAAATATATATAAGTTAACTAAAGATAACCGCGCGACGGCAGTGTCGGATTATCCAAGATTATCCATAGTAACTCCCACCATAACTTCCTGATAAGAAGGAAGAACCCCCTCGGCAACCGGCAGGGATCACACTCATCTCCCACACCTGCAACGTCACCGACTTAGCGAGGGATAACCAAATACACCCAAATTTATTCTAATTTATACATACAGTTGGGTCAAAATAATAGTAGTGCTGGTCGAGCAAGAAGTTTTTCGACTATAATTTCTATATGCTTTAAATAATCAATTTAAATAATCAAATGATTGTTTTCATATTATTAGCTAACATATTAATATCTGTACTACTAGAATATAAAGTGTGATCGTCTTATTCCTTGCCTTTCTATTTTTTTTCGCCATTTTTTGCTATTAACTACCTGGCCGTCACGGTCAAAATAGCAGTAGTGCCAAACAAAAATCTTAAATATATGAAATTTGTTCTAATTTTCGTAAAGGTTTTTAGTTTAAATAATATATAAGGATGTTCTCCAACAGGATTTTTACTTTATCGATTCTTCTTTATCATTTGGTCCTGGCAATATATTACGTGCCAAAAACATTCCTGCCGAGAGGCGTAATGTGTTTTAAAAGTAAATACAGGAAGGGGTTACGTAAGCCTAAGTGCAATCAATCAATATTATTGATTGATCTCCTACAGTAATTAGAAATGAGTAACAAATATGAGCCAGCATAAAAAATGCGAGCTCCACTTAAGATAATTCGAAAAGTGAACCGTCTAGTAGGGCAGGCGAAATATGAGTATAGTATGTCTCCTATCGCTTTAAAGCAGAGGTCGGCACGGCCCTATCTCGGGGGCATAGGAAATTTCTCTGCCCGAGCTCTGCCACACACACACAGTATACATGTGTGAAACGTCATGCACACAGCCTACTTTCTGCTATTCGTTACTAACACTAATGCGGTAAAATCATATCAATGTATTGGGGTGCCGATCACTGCTTTAAAGTCAACTGGGAAAGTTTGAAAACAGCAAGAAGACAACTTAGAAAAAACAATTTCATAGATAAAAGTCCTGGAAAATTGCTTCTCTAACAAAACAAAACACTAGGCCATTTAAAATAGCCCATGAAAATATGAAGAAACATCCTTTGGTAGTTTGAAGCCAAAATAGATTTTTTTGTGGCTGGGGTCCTGGCAGTATACTACAAGGCATACCTAGTATAATTTTCCCTAAAACATACATTCAAAAATTTTTTCATCCAAATTGATTTGACCTAGTTTTGCATAATTATTAGGTTTGACCATTTTTTGGTTCAAAATCATCACTGATCGTCACCATTAATCCAAAATTTTAAGCTAAGTGATACTTCCGTATATATTAGAGGACATGACACTTTTTTTGACGTTTCAAAACGATAAAGAACTGAAGTATACCAGTTTTTTGGCCAAAGAGTGGCTTCCCGACAACCGAATTAAAGTTATGATATCGCCGTCAGAGACATTTAATCTCAACCCATTAACATTCAACTTTCGGAAAATTTTTAAAAGTCCTGAGCCTTAATTACTGGCGAGAGATTCAAAAATTTTGTGAACTTTTTAGTAAAACGCCATGAAGTTGCTATAGTTAACAAAGGCGCTTCAAATAAATCCTAAAACATTCTTTCAATCTTACTTTATAATAATCAATCGTTTAAACATTTTTATACCCTTGCAGAGGGTATTATAATTTTGGTCAAAAGTGTGCAACGCAGTGAAGGAGACATCTCCGACCCTATAAAGTATATATATTCTTGATCAGGATCACCTCCTGAGTTGATATGAGCATGTCCGTCTGTCCGTCTGTCTGTTTCTACGCAAACTAGTCTCTCATTAATAGTCTCTTTGCACGCAGTATATAAGTCGGAACGGCCCGGATCGGCCGACTATATCCTAAAGCTGCCATATAACTGATTGATCGGAAATGGTATAACTTTGGTGTTTTTAGAGTAAGAGAGTTCAAACGTGTAAAACGCTATTTTTGGCAAAATAATACGACATGCCAAATTTCATAAGGATCGACCGACTATATCCTATAGCTGCCATATAACTGAACGATCGGAAATGACCCAACTTTCGTGTTTTTGATGATAGAAAGCTGGTACTTGGTACACATTTATTTTGGTCAGTTAATCCGATCTACCAAATTTCATAACGATCGGTTGACTATATCTTATAGCTGACATATTACTGAATGATCGGAAATGGTTTTTGGTAAAAATACCAACTTTGATATTTTTGAAGATAGAAGCTTGGGACTTTTTTTTTGTATATATTTTATTGTAATTAATTGGTTTTATGATGATATTCTCATAAGGACCGGCAACCTTTATCCGAGGTTTGCGATATATATCCGCTTTTAACTGCAAGGGTATATCAACTTCGGCTCCGCCCGCTTTTGAAGCGGGCTTTTTCGCTTTTGAAGAGAGGTACCTAAATACTCAACGTGTGAGTTCCATTTGTGTTTGTTAATAAATATGATTTCAAGAATTTTTATTTGGTTCACATTGGGGAGTTGAAAATATCCAAAGGACATTGCATACGCAGTGGTGTTTGTTGCAAACATGTACATATGTGCTTACATTTTGAACGGAAAAGACTAGCGCCTGAACATGAGCACCAATTTGAAATGTCGTTGACCAGTTGATCTTAAATAATATGTTTAGTTTTGGTTTTGTCTAGTTTAATAATTAGCTTAAAATCGTCAGCATATAATGTATTGAATATGTATTTATGTTTTTACGAATAAACAAAGTTAAAGTGGATCCAAGGTGAATGTCTTGACCAGATGGGTTAGAGAGTCTATTTTTCTAGACAGTTTTTTGATGGTACGGTTACTACACTGTACCGAGTAGGTCCTCTTCCATTGATGAGTCTTCCGAGGTAGATGCTCCAAAGGACATGGCCAAATTATTAAAACCTTCAATCTGGTATACAAAAGCGTCATCAGAGGAGTAGCTGGAGTCAAGTTGGGCCGACGCAGGCGTCCGGCGAGAAGGCTTTAACAGCTTAAGCTCTCGGCAGGATGTCCTAGGTGGAGACTCAGGTAGACAAGAGGATGGACTGGAGACATGGCGCTGTGGTAAGGAGCAGCTGGAGTCAGGCTTGGCTGTCGAGGGCGTTCGGCGAGGTGGCTTAGATAATTCAAGTGCACGGCGAGATGTAGTTGGGGGAGACTGTGATTGGCGAAAAGGTAAACTGGAATCACGGCGCTGGGGCGAGGAGTAGCCAGGGCCAGTATGGGCTAGCATAAGCGATCGGCAAGGTGTCTTTGATGATTCAAGCATACGACTTGATGTTGTAGGTGGAGACAGGGCTCGGCGAGGAGATGAGCTGGTTTCGCAGCACTGAGGTGTGGAGTAGCTGGAGCCTGCTTGGGCAAGTATTTGTACCCAGCGAGATGACTTTGACGATTTAAGCTCTCGGCTTGATGTTGTTGGTGGTGATATGGATTGAGTAGACGATGAGCCGGAGTCGCGGCACTGGGGCGAGGAGCCAGTGTGTGCTAAGGGCATACAGCGAGGTGACTTTGATGACTCAATCGCACGACGAGACGTTGTTGGTGGCGACAGAGATCGACGAGAGTGTAGGTTGGAGTCGCAACGACGAGGCAAGGAGTTAGTGGGTCCTTGGAAGTCATTCAGTGGGGGCAGCGGACGATTAGCCAAATAGCAATCCCGGGCTTCTTTGAATGCCTTACAGCCCCTAAAACTGGCAACATGTGGACCGCCACAGTTAACACATTTAGGGATTTCTGATCTTGGGCGATCGCAGTTTGTTGAGCGGTGGGGGGCGGCACATTTCAAGCACGCGTAGTCGTGGAGGCAGTAGTTTTTGGTATGCCCAAAATCTTTGGCATCGATGGCACATATTAGGTTCATCACGCTGCCTCTGGCGTTCGATAGAGATACGCCTATTTCCAACTTTGTTGATACCGAGAAAGGTGTTGACCCGTTCCATGTCGAAAGGCATCAGTGCAATAACGAAAATATCCATTGGTGTGCGGTCTCGATAGGATTTCAGGTTCTTGATGAAGCAGATAGTAAAATTTAATTTTCCAAACTCTTTTTGGATGTGAGAGATAGACGTGTCGTGGCGAAGCCCGGATTATGGCGGGATTATGAATCGACGATTATTGTTTGTGTGGTGAAAGAATGAATGGGCCTGTAGGCCGGCATTGTAGAGTTTTGATAAAACACGTGAGTGTTCTTCCGTTTAGGCGAATGATTGCGTGCTGCCGATTCACTGGGGGACGAGGATTTAGAAGGCTTCTAATGTCTTCCATGGATGGAAGAGTAGTCTATATAGTAGTAGTCTTCCTGGTCTATAGAAGTAGCCATTTCTAGATCGTGATGGTACTGTACTTTGAATTTTTTGCGACTGAATTCTGTTGAGGTTTGCGAGCGAATGGAAGGCAAAGCCAAAATGAAAAAGGAGAGTTGTAGCTTAATGAAGGCAATAAACTACGCATTAGAGAGATGTAAACGAGTACAAAGAGCGAGTCTTTAGCGAGAGGGAGTGAGTATAGTTGACATGTGAATGTGAGACGCATAGATCCTTATATGTGGGAGTTTCATGGATTAAAAGAGAGAAACTAAGAGAGCCAGCAATAAGGTATAAGGTAATAAGGATAGAACCAAGTTGCAAGATCTTCTGCAAGGTCCAGAGGATATACCTTAGGGACGTATGGATGGGAGTAAAGGGCGTGCACTTCTTGTGGTCTTAGACTGAGCTCGACGGATGGGGGTGGTGCTTTTCACGTATTCATAAAACACATGATTAAAATAGTTTAAGTGCTCGAAAATTCATGAAGAAACCCGGATGATTTTACTTTATAATCAAATCCGAAAACAATGAAACAAATCCCCTAAAACTCAAATAGCTTCAGAAGAGAGAGAGTGATTTCGATCAGTTGTAGGGTAATTAGATGGTCATTATACCCTAGTCTTAACCCACCCGACCTTGGCGAGATCTACGACGTTTGATTCGCCCCATATCACAATCCTATGTGATACCTTGAACTTATTCTTCGATTTGGGGTTCAAACTTTTTATTGCGAGAGAAATACAGTACAAATTAAAAAAACAAAAATTATCCATCCCAATTTTTAGGTAAACAAAGTGGTTATATTTGAAAAGCCATACATGCATTACAGAGTGGCTAATTTTATTCGAAATTCAAACAGAAAAATGCTTTTACATAGCGTGTTTCATAATGCGAAACGATGGCTGCCAAGTTTTGCGAATCTTTCGATGACGCTAATCCACCTAGTCTTTCTTGAAGCATGGTCGTCCTAAGCCATGTTTTGATGCGGCGAAGACAAGAGAAAGAACGTTCAGAGCTCGCGTTTGTTATGGGAAGTGTACAGAATACTCGGAGATAGGTGTGGATTGTTGGGAATATGTCGATATCACATTTTCTTAGTGTTTCCAGTGCAGAAGTTGGAATTTCATTGCCTTCAGTTTTTTGTTTCTGCTGCCAGTAACTCAATTCACCTTTGAATTTCAATTTTTGTACGGTCTTGTCATCATCCAGAAGATTCCCGAATCTTTCTATCAAGCATCCGATTAGATCATCCATTTCGTTTTCTTTTAAAAGACTCACTTTTTCTGGGAGCAACATACTCAATTGGTAACCATCCAAAACTTCTTTTGAAAAACGAGCTTCCAAATCTTCTTTGATGGTATCCAGCAGAGGTATGTAGACAGAGACCCTGTAGTAATCTTCGCAAGTTTTCACGTCGTATAGTTCCCGTTTTGTTTGTCGACCACGTGTCCTCGGGTTTGCTTCATCAATATCGAGTTTTTCCGCCATTTTCTTGGCATCTGAATAAATCAGTCGGAATATATCATTAACTTTTTCCCTCTTATTTTTGAACGTGGCAAGCAACGTCCCAATTATTTTTGATGCCTTCGCCAAATCAATTGCTTCCTTCTGAAGAACTACGCTGAGCGGATGGGTGAGCGATAGAATGTCGCTGAGAAGCTGACAGAAGAGCCCGACGATGAATTCAAACTTGCACAAAGCCGATAGGAGAATTGTTGCTTTGCCTGCTGTTTCTCTGTTCTTCCACTCACTGATTTTTGACAGAGCTTCGATTATCAACGGTAACTTCGCAACAAATTGAAGGACAGCATCGTGTCTCTCTACCCATCTTGTTTCACACAACTGGACAATTTTTTCACCAAGTATCTTTGCTAATACAGTCACACGTTTTGGAAATGAGTTCTTGAAGAATTTGTCCACTTATCGTATGGCACTGGCAACGTTTTCGATTGATCGTACTTTCACTGACTTTGAATCTCTGGGGTATACGATAGTCGCAAGCTGCATCATGTCCATATGTTTTTTGTGGTTCTTCGTGTCAACTGACGCTGGTGTCACTGTTGTATTTTCATTTTTTTTATTACAGAGAATATTTTTCTAGCAAACAAGTAAAATTTTCAGGTTCTGTGGTTCCATGGTTCCCCATTTCCATATTTTGGTCTAGGAGGGCCCATTGTGCCAAAATTTCCTGTTTAAGACTATTGACGGTGTCAAATTTAGTGTTGTTGGCGTAAACTCGTCTGGCTAGGATACCCCATAGGTTCTCTATAGGATTAAGATCCGGAGAGCAAGCTGGCCAATCCAAAACCTTCACGGAATGCTCGTTTAAAAATCTTTGGGTTTCTTTGCTTTTATGGATTGATGCATTATCCTGCATAAAAACATATTTTCTTTCCTCATTTTGGTTCAAAAATGGCAGAAGACGATCCTCTAATACTTTTTTGTAGTCTGTGCTATTCATACGAGAGCTCGTAAAGCACAGATTAAGCGTTCCAGACGCATGAAAGGCTCCCCAAACCATTGCGGATCCACCTCCGAAATTGCGCCTTGAAAACATGAGGGGATCCTTACGCAAATCTAGCCAATAATGACGAAACCCATCTGGGCCATCCAGATTAAATTTTTTCTCATCAGAAAAAATTATCTAAGTGAGAAATATTGATTAAATTCGTATAAACAAAATGGAGTTGAAATTCCATACCTAGGCCCAGTTGGTTTCCAAATTTTTTTCAGCAAACTGAAGGCGTGCTTCTTTGTGTTGGGGCTTTAGGAATGGAGCCTTTTTTAAAACTCCCCTTACAATAAATTCCGAGGCTTGCAAAGTTCGCCAGACAGTCATCCGAGACACAGGATGACTGCAAGACGCTGCAAGTGATGCGCATGATAGAAAAGAATTGCTTGCTTTTTTCAATATGCGTCGTTTATCACGATCGGACAGCTTGGGTTTTCTGTGCTATAACACAGCGTGTTCGCCCCATTATCCGCGATATTTTGCTAATATTGAATCCGGCATCGTTATAAGCTCTTATTCTTCCCTTTTCTTCTTCGCTTAATAAGCAACCACGCGGCATTTTATTAAAAACTAATTAAATTTTTAGCAAAACTTTAAATGAAAAAAATTTGCACCAAATCTTTCGCGCCAACAGCAAAAATCCTAATGTGTCGTATCATTTTGATACACGTGCAGCGTAGCCAAAATTAAAGCGTGTGAGCTTTTTTTACCGTTACTTGATAACGGAAGATGCAACAAAAGTAAAAAATATCTTATTTTGTGCATTAAACTTTGTGCTATCATTTCTCATACTTTGTTTTGATCGTTTTCGTCCTCGCATTCTGCTACGAGCCCCGAAACAAAAAATTTAGAGGTGTCGTATAATTTTGGGCAGGATGTCACCGGAAAACTGCAGCCGCCGTTCGACTCCAAAATTGATAAAAATGATTCCATCCGATTTGATCGGATTTATTCCGTCGAATAGCGCTGAATTCCTTAGATCCTTAAACTAGACGATTACATAATTCGGTACTAGCCGATTACGTCATCTCGTACTAGCCGATTACATAACTCGGTACTAGCCGCACTGGCACGTGGCACTGGGGAAAATAATTCTTTAAAGAAAACTGCACTGCACTAACTCAAAAACATACCTGGCTTTAAAATTTACTAAATTCAATAATTCACTGATCTCCACAGCTAGTTCCGCTGGGTCTTATTAAATTTTCCCATATATTTAATTATAATAAAATACGAGTTTACTTTTATAAATTTAGGCTTAATAATGCAGCCTTATCTCTTCAGCGTATGCACGTTAGTGTCTAAGCTTCCCTATGCAAATCTAGCCCTAACTATGCTAGAATAAAAAGCTTTCACATAACTGATGCTGCACTATTATCTCGATATGCAGAAACCAATAGATAAGAATCGCGTGATATTTCGTTCATTTATCCAAGGTGACCGGAGAATAATAGATACAACATTTTAAGCTTTTCAAAATATCTTAATTTCTATGTTTTCTGTGATATGAATGCCCTGTTGGAAATTCACACACTACAAATATTGGAATTGGGAATATCCTGGTCATTTCTTAGACGATTTGGAAACGGAATTCTTATCATCCTATGAGCATTGACCCAGATATAAGCTTTGCAAGCGGTCCAAGCAGCGGACAAGCATTTTTTTCTGATACTTTCAACATACATATGTATATAGGACCGAATATATATGATATCCCTTTCTGAAATCTGTTGATAAACGGTTAGGGGTTTTTTTGTCGAGAAATTATAATTCATTTATATTATTTTATGTAATTTATTGTCTTTTTTATCGTCTACATTTTGAGCAAAGGGAGATAAGAATGTCTCTGTAAGTGTCCCGCACACGTCGTCGATCTTGATTGATTGATAAATTGATAATAGGTTTTAAATATTGACGACAGGATAAGGCGCCGTCATATTCGATTGTGGTATTCGTAGCTCCATGGGCCCTCGATGATTGAAAATGTCAAATAGTTAGGAGTCGGTGTGGTCTCCTTTACGCTGGCTAGTGCTCGGGAGCTCATCGTTCGGCTTGGGATCTTCGTCCGGTGGCGAAAGTTTGGCCATCTTCTTCAAAGGCACTTGCTTTTCCATATCGATGTCCTTAACACTTATTTTGGAGCAACTCGGTCCATCGTCCGGTGGCGGAGTAATGGCCATCTTCTTCACAGGCACATGCTTTCCCATTTTGATGTCCTTAGCACTTTTGTTGGAGCAACTTGGTCCATCGTCCGGTGGCGGAGTAATGGCCATCTTCTTCACAGGCACATGCTTTCCCATTTTGATGTCCTTAGCACTTTTGTTGGAGCAACTCGGCCCATCGTCCAGTGGCGGAGTATTGGCCATCTTCTTCACAAGATCTGGCTTTCCCATTTTAATGTCCTTAACACTTTTGTTGGAGCAACTCGGCCCATTGTCCGGTGGCGGAGGTTTGTACACCTTAGGCACTTCCACTTGCTTTGACATTTTGATGTCCTCAACACTTATGGTTGTGCGACCATCCATCTTGGCATAACGGTCGGCCTCAACCAGGTGATCCCTGGCTAAAGCTGAAAGCAATTTTATATAGTGTGGAGTCATTAGAAAGCATAAAATACATACTGTAAGCCAGGTCAAGAAGAACTCCACGTGCTCGGGGACTGGAATCCACGTTCATGTCCTTGAGAATATTGCGAATAAACTCCACATCATTCATAACCTCCAGCTTGTTTTCGACAAGCTTGTGCTTCGGTTTCTTATTCTTATTTGGGTCCATAATTTCCAGAAAAATGAAAAAATTTCAAGAGCAATGAAAAAGTTTTCTTCGATGAACTAGAGTGGCCAATCAGTACTTTGAAATGTCAATGACCATGCACTTTTCATGACAGTTCACTTTTCCAAAGCCTACTAGATGGAACAAAGACCCTGTGTTTTTTTATAGTACTTTATTTGAATCTAAGTATAAAAAAATATATTATATGTTTTTGAAAAAGCCATTTATAAAGAATTTTAACGTTTAAGCTTTATAAACTCTCCTTATAAACAGATAAAAGATAGCGATCAAATTCTTGAAAATATTGCAAAGGTCAATTAGAATTTTAATTTGAATATCTAATTTAGTATGACCCTCAACACGCAGATTAATGAAAATTAATTGTACATATCGTTTTCAACACCCTTTTTTAAATCCGATTACATTTGACCAAGATAGGACCAAGATTTGGCAACCGAACCCAACGGCGGGCGCCCAGGCTGATCTTTCTAAGCTCATATCTTGGTCATTTTTGAATGGATTTTTAAAAGCAATACCATTTTGTAATCAGGATTGAATATCCTTCGATCTGCATCAAAATATTTTAAAAATCGAACAATAAAATTTGGGCCGATTTTCGCAAAAAATCATGATGTCACCGCTGTCAAAAATTGCGAAAATCGAGCTGAAATTTGTTTGATCGATTTCACGAATCTTTTGATACAGATCGAAGGATATTGATGTCCTGATTCAGAAATGGTGTTTTGTTCCTTAATCGGTCCAGAAATGGCCGGGATATACGCTATATACCAAACACGAAATTGAAAAATCGGAACCCATATTTGGGAATATTGGAATTGGAAACATCCTGGCCATTTCTTAGCCGATTCGGAAACGGAGTTCCAATATAAAATCGAGGATTAATATCCTCCGACCCTTCATTAGCCCCAGGATACTACTAAGTCCTTCAAAAACCTCAAAAGCTCCCTTTGTTGATGTCAAGTTTCTTTCTTTCTCGAGGCAAAAAATCCACAGGACAGGATTTCGTTTTAAAAATTAATATATGTATATTTTATGTATATTTGCATCATTCCATTACAATTAGTTTAACTTATTTTTAATTTTTTATATATATGTATATAATTTGTTTTCGTTTTAAAATAGTTTTTTCTTATCATTTCGCTTATATTAATATTGTAATATGCCAAGTTTATATGTGAGTGAAGGGCTTTTTTTTCGCAAAAATTTTGCACAAATCCTGATCCTGAACATGGATTCACTTATTGCCATTTTCGTGGGGAATAGTTTGAATAACTCGTGCTTATACATAGATCGGGAATGTATAACACTTGGGAATTAATATTATTGATTTAAGTTCAAGAATTAAATTTTAGCTACATTTTAGATTAAATATTAAGAAATTTTCAATAATATAAAATTAAATTATTCACGATTCATGCCTAAAAAAATTTACTGTTTAAGTACAAAAAATGAGTAATTTCTTTCAGTGGTATCCACTTACCGAAGTTTACCGCCGTTGAGCTCAAGGACAGGATGCTATAGATGTTTGTAAAAATATTTAATAAAAAAATATTACAATAAAATTTGTTTGGCCATGCTCGAATATTATCGCAAAGTTCGTATTTCAAGTAAATTTTAATTATTTCTCTTTTAAATTCATTGCACTTATATAAATATAAATGTATATTTATTTATACTAAAATTAATCAAGAAAATGTATATAATAATTATCTGAATTTTTAACATTAAATTATTTGCAAAATTATAATATAATTTATTATTATTAACAATGAACTGTTATTTCTATATTATTATAACTAAGAGTAAGGATAAATTAAGTTAAAAGATATTCCATAATTTTGGATTTAATTACAACTAGGGATAGTTCAGGGGACATTAAATGGGATAACGAGTTATAATTTTTACAAATAACGCGGAATGGATCGTGTTCCGCAAAATTAGATCTATAAATTGGTAACCAAAGGGGTCGGAATGATCTAGTTACTCTATTAGGCACAGAAAAGAATAATTTATCAAGAAGTACTTGTGAGTCAACCTGTCCAAGAATAAGCAGATGAAGCAGCATAACCCCAGCACAAGTACGGCGCTCTTTTAAAGGAGGTAGGTTTAGTAATTTTAACCGGCAATTATACGACGGGAGGGAAGTGGCAGTATCCCAGTTTAAGCCTTTTAACGCAAATAGCAGAAACTGCTTTTGGACTGATTCAATCCTCCTTTGGTGAACAAAGTATTGCGGACTCCAAACGCTAGAACAGTATTCTAAGATAGGACGAACCAACGATACGTATAGAGTTTTAGTTGTGAAAGGATCATCAAATTCTTTAGACCAACGTTTGATAAAAGCTAGCACGCCTCTGGCTTTATTCACTGTTAGTGATATGTGGTCGTTGAAGGACAACTTATTGTCAAAAATTACTCCAAGATCGTTAATTAGGAAAACACGATCTAAGACGTTATTCCCAAGAGAGTACGAAACGATGTGAGGCACACTGCGATTGAACGTCATAACCTTACACTTAGAGCAGTTAAGCAATAGGAGATTGTTTGAGCACCACAAGAAGACTTCGTTAAGGTCTAGTTGCAAGTGTCTATGAAGGAAATGGTCTGAGAAAGAAAGACATAACTTGACATCATCAGCATACATAAATGTAGTAGCATAGTTTACAACACTAGGTAAATCGTTGACAAAAAGAACAAACAGAAGAGGTCCTAAGTGACTACCTTGTGGGACACCAGATGAAACATTTATAATCTGTGATGAACTGTTTTTAAACAAAACACGCTGCGTGCGGTTCGATAGATAAGAGGTCAACCACTGTACTATATGAGGAGAAAACCCCAAAAGACACAGCTTATGAAGGAGGAGATGGTGGTTAACAGAGTCAAACGCTTTACTAAAGTCAGTGTACACCACATCAGTTTGCATGCGGCTCAGAAAACCTCTGTGGATAAACGAAGTGAATTCAAGAAGGTTAGTTGTGGTAGAGCGATGCTTGACAAAACCATGCTGTGAAGTGGAAATAATACTTTTACAAAAATGTTGCAGTTGGAAAGTAACCAGTTTCTCAAGCAGTTTGGGAATCGCAGATAGCTTAGCAATCCCCCGGTAGTTCTCAATAAGTGCTTTAGAGCCTTTCTTATGAAGCGGAATAATAAAAGATTCATTCCATCTCTTGGGGAGACATGCCAGCTCCAAGGATAAGTTGAATAAGATAGTGAGAGGATAGCAAAGGATATCAGAACAGTACCTTAGAACACAGCTAGGAACATTGTCAGGACCAGCAGAGAATGATATATCTATTGTTGAAAGAGCTTCGAACAGATCCTGAATTCGAAATTTTGTAAAGTAAATGTTGTTTATATGTGGTAATTTATAAGGATAAGTAGAATTGTGGTTATATGAATCGGACGAATAGGTGGTTTGAAAAAATGACGCAAAGAGATTAGCAATACCTTGCTCAGAAGAATGTGAAATATTTTTATATGATAGGGAAGGAGGAAAAAGATTTGATTTACGTTTCATATTGACAAAAGAGTAGAAGGAGCTTGGATCATTTCGAAAGTTTACCTTACAATTCCTGATATACTGCTTATAGAGTAGATCGTTGAGAATAATAAACTGGTTGCGAACATAAAGAAAGTTTGACTGGTGGCACATCGATCCTGACTTAAGAAACTTTTTGTAAGCTCTGGATTTCCTGTTCTTAAGACGAGAAAGGTGTTTATTATACCAAGGTGGTTTTGTAGACAATGATACAGGGACTTCCGGAACAAATTTGTTCAAGGCATTATGAATTATTTCGTAAAACGAATCCGTAGCTGCTTCAATTGTGTTTATAGATGAAAGAAAATTCCAATCGATTTCAGCTAAATGATTCCGAAGGGCAATAAAATCAGTCTTTCTGAAGCATTTGAAACGAGGTTTAGCATTAAAGCAAGCATCATTGTGAGGCACATCAATTAACACCGATGCTAATAATGTAGGGTGGTGAATGTCTTCAGGAAGCGATAGCGGCGGGGACCGAATGACTGTCACAGAGGATGACACATTAGAAAAAATAAGGTCGAGAAATCTGCCATGAGTGTTATGAATTGGATTAATTTGGAGCAGGGCAAGATCGGTTAAGCCATCGATAAAGTCGTTATGACAACTGGAAAGCAAGGAATTGTCTACCTCAGACGGGATCCAGGAAATGATGGGAAGGTTGAAATCTCCCATGATTAGGATTAAATCACGGTCCTTGGCCAACGAAGAGATAGACCTAATGGCATCAAGATGGTGAAAGTACACAATATCTTCAGCCATGGGAGGAATGTAGGAACAGGTCAGAAAAATATGAGACAAGCCAGTTAAAATTTTCACCGCAATGAACTCAATTCCGAACTCGTTCGTGAAAGGAATAATTTCAGAAGGGTACTTATTAGTAACAGCAATGAGGACACCACCTGCAAAAGTTGGACGATCCAATCGAAACACTATGAATTTGGAAACAAGAATTTCATAATCAGAGACAGAGGAGTTAAGCCAAGTTTCAGTAAGCACGATAGCATCAAAATCAAAAGAAGCACTCTTTGTAAAAAACTGGCTCAGCTTACCCAGAATACTTCTAACGTTTTGATAGCAGCAGGAAAATACTATGTTATTCAGTTTTTTGAAGCAGTTTCTGCAGGGATAGGATTCTGAGCGTCTTTTGCTAGGAATTCATGAACGATACTGTGCTCAGGCCAGGCTACAGGATCAAGTGCTTTTTCAAGGTAGGAATCAGGTAGAACTATTTTAAAAGAAGATATAGAACGCTTATGCTTAAAGTTAAACTTAAAAATAGCTATATCATTAGGAGCTACCTTAAGATGGTTTAACAGGTGACTCTTGACATCATCAACAGTAGCATCCGGCATAAGCCGAGAGACAAAAATGGCCTTACGAGGAGCAACCGCCCTCAACGTAAGTCCAGAAGATCTAACTTCAGGCGCCACACCAACCAGAGGCCTTGGAGACATCACAGCTAGAGCAGAGGGTAGGTTGTCCAACGATGGGGGTTGTCCAACGATGTCCAACGATGGAGGCTCCAAGATGAGAGGTGGCTCGAGAT